ATCACCAGTCTAGGTCTCTGCCCCAATTGACTTTTGGACGGTTCAAACTTGTCCCAGCTGGATGCTATGTGCCTTCCCTCTGGCTTAGTGGAGTGCTGCACAGCTACCCACATGCACAGGGTCCTGTCGTGTCCCACTCCCTTTGTTCTCTGGACCAGCACCAGCAGTTCAGAGCCTGCTTTCCCTGTTACTAGCAGTTCAGAGTTTTGCAGTGTTAGTGCTTCTGGGTTGCAGCCCCTGTCAGGTTTTTGCTCCTGAAGGGATGTGGCCAAGCTAGCTATCAAGGCTTGAGTAAACTTCCACAGTCTGGAGCCAGGGTCTCTATTGCACTGAAAAGAGGGAGGGGGGAATGGGGTAAAGGGGGGATTGTTGCTGAGTGAGCTCAGGGTCCGTAAACATCAGATCCTGGGTTTGGGTGTCAGTTTGTTTCTTTCTTTTGGATTCTGGGTGCCCAAGACCATGAGAATAGCTGAAGTTGTTTTAATCTATGGTACACAGCTTCTGTTTTAGAGAGGTTTGAGAATGTAGAGATCAGAGAAAATGTCTAGTCTGCCATCTTGTTGCTTATGTGACTGCCTCAATACACTTTTACTGTAGATTGCTGTAGATTTTTTTCTTTCTGGTTTTGTTCTTTCTACTTACCACCTTGAAGACCAAGTCAGAGGTGTGAGTCACTATTAATCTAAATGACAATAAAATGTTTCCCTAATGGCAATACTTGACAGTTGTTTCAAAAAGAAGAGAACGTTCTTTGTCCTTCCAGAAAGCCCACACTCTAGGGAAATATTAACACCTGATGCCTAGAAATCTTGGCATAACTGTCTTAAAGATCACAGAATGAGATCCAGACAGAATACCTTTTGGCTTGCTAACCTGATCTCCTATGACCGGGAAGCTTATTAAATCAGGCTATGCAGGGTACCTCCATCCCTCACCGCTACAGAAACTCATCTTAGGCATTTCCTCCTCCGTGCACTAAATGACAGCTGTTTATTTCATTTCTCAGAATGCAATCTATAGAAAACCAGGCTTCATTAATTCAAGTGGCCTGTCTCCCAACAATGTGTTAACAAGCTTTTAGATGGTACTGAAGCCATTTAACTTTTTTAAAAAGGTGAAAGGACTCCTGGTCCATATGGTCTTTACTGACATACATTTTCATTTTAAATGCTAAGGTTGACAGATTTGCTCAGAGTAAATGAGGTGTTGGTTAATATCTAATTACTTTACACACCAGTCACAGCCCATTTAACTGATTCAGATACCAGCCCTTGCCTCTACCACCAGACACTAAAACTTCAAATGACATTCTTGCTCTCATCACTTTGGATTTCCGTGCTGAACTGAAAATTCACAGCATCTCATGAGCCTGTGTACTTTGAAGTGGAAGGGGGAGAACGTAGAGAGGGTGTTGGGTTGGAATCTATCTCCTGACAATTATTCTCCGTATGTCCTTGGGCAAATCACTTAATATCTCTGGGTCTTGGTTATCCTCATCTGTGGAACTAGCCCTCTAACATTGTTACCTTCCTCCTCCAAAAGCTATTTTTGAAAGATCATAGGATCGTCTATCTTCTGGTCTTCCCCCAAGGTAGTCAGTCCTTGGCAAAGTTTCAAGTCACACAGGAACAAACTAAAGAACAAGGATTTGAACTCAGATCTTCTGATGTTCTTTTTGTGATATCTTTTTGATTACTAATGTCATTAACATCACTAGCAATACGTTATTGAACTTCTGGACATTAGTGACACAGAAATGGCTTTTCAAAAGTTTATATATGTATATGAAAACTAATTAATATTAATGGTGATTGTGTTGGCATAGGAATTACTATCACAGATTGTTGTTGTTCAGTTGTTTCAGTTATGTCTAATTCTCCTCAACTCCATTTGGGGTTTTCTTGGCAAAAATACTGGAGTGGTTTGCCATTTCCTTTACTAGTTCATTTTACAGATGAGGAAACTGAGGCAAACAGGGCTAAGAGACTTGCCCTGGGTCACACAGCTAGTGCCTGAAGCCAGATTTGACCTCATGAAGATGTCTTCCTAACTCCACATCCAGCGCTTCATCTACTGCACCACCTATCAGCCCTCACTTCCACAGATACCACCCCTTTAAGACTTAGAAAATGCTTTTTAAGGATTACTATTGCCAAAAATTTCAACACCTTGCAGCTAACCTAGTGACAGCTAGGCTGGTACAAAAACGATAGTAGATTTCCCTTGCCTGGCACATTCAAAGCATTTGTAGCTTCAGACTTCGCTGAAGATTGCAGGCTGCTAGCCTTGCTTTTAAGTTGCCAAGACCACCTCCATACATAAACAGCATAGGAGGAATTTAGTGGAGGGCTTATAGTTTCTCCACCTGCAAAATGAGAACAATACAGCACAAAGAGATAGGATCAGTTTCCTCATCTGTCAAACCAGGATACTTGCCCTGTCACAAGAATTTGCTGAGAAAAAGCTCTTCACTTGTCAGCTGAAACATCATTTACCTCATCATGTGTCCCATGATTGTTCTGAGGATCAATGCACCTGAAAGCATTTTGAAGAGTTGCAAAAATTCATTCAAGACACTGTGCTTTGTTTTGATTTAAGGTCTTATTAAAAAAAGTCCTACTATGTAAGTGGGAGAATATTACTGTGCTCTTTGAAAAATGCTCACTATTGAAACCCAAGAACTGCATTAACTTACTTGTTTAACTGGGTACAGTTAAGAGTTGAAAGGCAGAAGAGGTCACTGTAAGAGATCAAACATCCTTTCTTAAAGTGACTCTTTCACTGAGGAACTAACCTGAAGGCAGTTAATGGCAGTGAGCAGTACAAGGATCTATCTGAATTTAACAAAGAGTTAATAAGTCTGTAGCATAATTTTTAAAAAGGTCTTACCTTTTGCTGGGAAGAACTATTGAAAGCTTCAAAAAACAATGAAAACAAGAAAAATTCCTTGGAATACATCAAGTAACAGGGAAAAATATTACTTTAAGATTAAAAAGAAAAAAAAACTTAGAGAAAAACCCAAGAATTAGAAGAATTTTAATAAAATCCATATGCTTACATTTGTACATTCTGTGTATTTCTGGCCCTGTGCACTGACATAATCAGAAGTCAAAAAACAGAGTAGCAAGGATAAAAGTTTCCTGCAGAGCGCAAGCAGAAAGTAGGGGTTCTTTTTGTTGTATTACAGGCATAAACGTGATCCCAAACCACAGCTTACACACTGTGCCTGCCCCTCACCCCCTTTTCAAGTAGCAGCATATTTAATTATTCTCATGGACGTCAACTTTTTAGCTTGAAGTTCAGATGACAATCTCTCTACTGCAAACATAATACCTTTAATACACATTAATACTTTATAGGCAATAGAAGATAAGTAGTTCATTAAAATAGCACATTATTGCCCATGAAGTATTAATGTAAACAGTTTAGATCATGCTGAATGAACCAAAGAGTTATGCAAAATCTAGTGGCAAGAATGACTGAATGAATACTTTAACTGTTCTACACAGTAGCATGATTACAAAACAGTAGATGTCCTACTGGGAGGGACCTCATTTTTAAAAAAAATTATTAAATAAGAAAAAGGACTTCAAGGAGACAGAGGAAAGGGTTACTTCCAAAGTATAAGATAATTCTGCACAACAAGGCAGGCCACTGTTGGTGCCAAAACCCCAATAGGGTAGAAATGGAGAACTGTCCAAATCTGGTTCCTATCTGTCTCATGTATGCTTAAAGTTTCACAGGACTATTGTTCATTCAGTGAAAAGACAGGATGACAGCATCACCAAGACTTATCCAAACTTCTGTGCATCCTGTGGAGGGAGTACTTTAAAAAGTGCAGTGTTCCACATCCTTGTGTCCATTCTCCAAGGAGTATAAATTCAAACTCACAAGTTGTAATTACAACATGTGCAATAATATAATCATTCTGTAAGCAGTAGAGTCATCAGCTGTGCAAAATTCAAGAGCGGGTTCTGAATTAATCACAAGTCAATTTACATCCGATATAGTCCAGCTACAGAGCATAATTTCTTAATAATTTATTCTTCAGATAACAGAACCACAGTGAGTTGAGAGAATGATACCATTCCCCTTGCCCCCAAATAATATAGTGATACTTAATTTTTGACCCACTTGGAATTAGGAAAAGGGAAAGGAAGAGCACATTACAGTTAGGACAGGAAACATTTGTAATGGAACTGGGAATGGGCTGAACAGCAAATCTTCACAGGTCTGTAGTGGATGAACGATAGTGGAGGGCACTGTTTAGTATCATTAAGTTATCACAGGTAGCAAAATAGTGCTTGTATTTGGAAAGTAACAGCTGCGTGGGTGGTTTTCTTGAATGCCAGTTCTGACTAGAAAATATAACCACAAATTTGTGTCCTAGCACAAATCTAAAATGAGGACAATGAAATAATAGTGGCTTTAGATGATCAATAATGTTATACCAAAAACACAACATGAATTCCAAATTTTTTGAGAATGACAAGCATTTTCACGTTTTATTAATAAACGTTAAAAAAAAGTATGAAGGTATCAGGAGGCAGGATTGCCTTACGGGTTTTTTTTCCCTTGTGGCAGTAGACAAAGCACTCATCAGGGAAAGTATTTCTCCATCATCTGTGCAAAGGCAGCTTTCCTGAACCACTTGTCCAAATACATGAGGTCAAAACAGGTATCTCATGAAGACAACATTCTATTTGTCCCCACTGAGTGATTCCCTTTTAATGATCCAAGTTCTGGATAAGAGGTAAACTGTTAATGAAGAAAAAAAACCCTAAGTAAATCAAAAGGATTTAGGAACAAACAAAAAAGTCAGTGTGAATATGATTTAAGTTAAAAATAAAATCTCCTAGTCCAACGTGTTAGTTGTAAAATTTCATACAGGTGGGTGAGGAAACATTTTTATAGGATGTAGGAAAGGAAACGTGGCCACTAAGTAGGTAGACTGACTTGATTACTGCCACTGTCTTTTAAGTTCTGAAGGTAGGTTGTTGTTTTTTTTTTGTTTTTTTAAGCCATGAGAGACTATCCATTTCCAATGGATATGATCACATTCCACTGAGCAAAAAAACAAATAAATAACCGAAGGGCTAGCGCTTAGTGGAAATCTGGCCAACCAAAATAATGGGCTGGGAAACAGAGGACAGTAACAACACAGAGGTGGCTCCCCAAAGCCAGCAATTTCAAAGCAAAAGTATAGTTCATGATCTATTCCTGAAAAAAATGGATGTAGACCCCAAACATGGATGTGCTGTATTGACCGTGATTAATGCAGGATCTTGAAAGACAGTGGCACAATGTGAGCCCCTCTATTTAACAAGATCTCTAAACACTGACCACTTCCTTGGATTTATGAAAGAAAAAAAAAAAGACATCCTCATCACCATGTCACATTATAGCAAAATATTTTCAGTGCAAATTTATGTTCCTTGAAAGAAAGAAAGGAATTTGTCAGTCCTGACTTCCCCCATGATTTGCCTTGATGACAAAGGAAAGGCTCATTTTTCTTTCACAAGAAAGTAGACGTTTGTTTTTGATTACTATGTACAAGGAGAAGTTCACTCTTGAATGTCTCTATTTATGATAAGGTATTTTTCATTTACATTCATAAAAAAGATTAGCAATTAAATGTTCATGTTTCACATCGACTGACACCTTCCCAGCACCCAGGGTATGATCCTTTCATCTTGATGTCAAGAGCAGCTGTACTCTGATCTTTTTATCCAGCACATTTTGTAAAGGAATTAGTGTTTGCAAGTGCAAATGTGCCTTTTTCAAGTCCGATTGCCAGGGCTAGATGAGTTAGGGTTCATGTGTCTATTTGCAGCACAATGAGTGTGGACAACACCACCATTCGGATACCTAACAAACACAGGCTCACAAAAGGGACTTTGGCACATCTGGCAAAGCTTTTTGTCTGATAGCCGAACTGGGCTTCCTTTTAATTTTATCTGCAAAAAAGAAATAAAGATCATGAATTGTGTCTTCTAATAACATTTCAAAATATTGCTTTTTCAGTTTTCTGGAGAGATACATCAGTCCACTGGTGATTTATAAGTGATTTATCATCAGTTTCTTGAAAAGGTTAAGATAAAATGGGACCTTGGTACAAAACACTACATAAACAAGACCATTTACTATAACTACAGATAATATTTTGTAAAGTACTTAGCACAGTGCCTGGCACATAGTAGGTGCTGAATAAATGTTAGGTATTAGTTAATGAAACACCTTTAATTTTATAAAACCAAGCCAAGTACCAGCCAAGTTTATAGCTCCAGTTAGCCAAAGCATCTTAACCCCACTCTGAAGCTGCTGTTGTTTTAACCAAAGCTAGAGCTGCAAAGTGCCATAGGGGTCATTTGGCTGGATTCTTTCATTTTCAAGGTAAAGAAACTGAGGCCCAAAAAGGTGAAATAACTCCCCCACAGTCACACAACTAGTCAGTGGCACAGAGGCACAAAATCAGAAAAGATTTTGAGACATTTCTGTTGCTGGCACGGTCTCACTCATTCCCTCTCTGAGCCGTGTGTTTCCTAAAATGCAAAGTTACTGTACAAACTACTTACGTAAGCACAGTCTAGTGTACTGACACTGTACATCTAATGTCAACTGTCAGCCAGTCAGTCATTAAACATTTATTAAGTGCCTTCTATGTGCCAGACACCATGCAAAGCACTGGGGATACTAAGAAAAGCAAAAGATGGCTTCTGCTTCCAAGATGCTCACCATCTAATAGGGAAGACAACATGCAAAGCACTGTGTACAAACCAACTGTATATACAGGATAAATTGGAGATCATAACCTCAGAGGGAAGGCACTAGAGTTAAAGAAGACTGGGAATCTTCCTATAGAAGATGGGATTTTAGTTGGATTTTAAAGAAAACTGGGGAAGTCAGGAGGCGGAGATGAGGGAAAGTATTGCAGTCATGGGAGACGGCCAGGGAAAAGCCTGGAATTGGGAAATGGAAAGTCTCGTCCTAGGAACAGCAAGGAAGCCCATGTTGCTCTGGAGGGAGAACACAAGGAATTCTCCAGCGATTGAGCATGCTTTCCTAACTCTTCTCTTTCTGATCATTCCCAGGAGCCAGCTGCACCACGCTGCTGCTTCCCTCCCCAGTTTCTACTCGCCACCCCACTAACACCATGTTTGAATGGAGACTCACTTTCGAATTATCATGACTACAGACAGGAAGAATAATAAGGAGAGTCACTTGTTAATAAATATTAACATTAACAAAGTTAACAACAACAAACTGTGGGATTGTCATGCTGAACCCAATGTCAGGAAGACCTGTATGAATGAATATTTTAACTGTTCTACACAGTAGCATGATTACCAAACAGTAGATGCCTTCGACATGGACTAGCTGTGGGACCCTTTTTTAATCATTTCAATTGTGTCTGTTTGTGACCCCATTTGGGATTTTCGTGGCAAAGTTACTGAAGTGGTTTCCTTCTCCAGCTCATTTTATAGAGGAGGAACTAAGGCAAACTGGGTTAAGTGACTTGCCCAGGGTACCCCAGCTAGTAAATGTCTAAGGTCAGATTTGAACTCATGAGTCTTCCTGACTCAAGGCCAGTGCACCATCCACTGCACCATCTAGCTGCCACTGTGTGGCTGTCTATTTCACCTCTCTGTCTCTCAGTTTCCTCCACTGTAAAATGAGAAGATTGGATTTGATCATTTCTAAGGTCCCTTCCAGCTCTAAAATCATGATCCTGATGAATGAGGAACAAAACAAAAATAAAAACAAAAACAACTCCATGACCACCACCACCATCACCATCCCCCAGGTCCCATCCCAATTTTCTTTTGTAAACAGGTCTAACATGACCTGCCAAAAACACCCCCCTCACCTTATCATGTTTGTAGAGTAAGTTTTCTGCTTTGGCCAAACCCAATGCAGCTTGAGTCACCCTCTTGGTGTGAAGGCTTTCCCTCACGGCCCTGGTAAGGAAAGGCGCCAAAAGTTGAACTGACCAGGTGTCAGGCACCAGCTGTAGAACCTGAGCTGCGTCGAACTCAGTGGCGTGGTGGTTCAAGAGGTCCACGGCAGCCGGAACCAGGTCACAGTCAGAGGGTCCTGGCTTTAGGTAAACAGAGAGCAGCATGTGGAAGAGCCGCTGCCGATATGGAGGGTCTTTACTCTGAGAACTCCACAGGCAGTAATCCTTAGCCGCAGAAAAGTCCTTTAGCTCGTGTACCAGGATGTGCAGGGCCCTGTCATGCTCCTCCAGCTTTCCATGTAATATTGCACTTTCCATGTGAAGGCTGGTCCCCTGGATTTTATCTATCAAAGGGAACAAGCTCTTTAAAAATCAGATGGAAACGTAACCCAAAGGAGCACCTGGGCAATATATCACTTCTCCCTAAGTTCCAATCCCACTCAATTTGCCTTTTACTTTAAGAACATATGAAAGTAAAATTCATTATAGAAAACACACCTAGCTGGGGAGACGACAGATGTTGCTAAATGCTGCCATCTAGATGACTAAGTCAACATTTTCATGCACACTCATGCTTAGTATTTAGGCCCTGGAAAATCTTTATTACAATTATAAATGATTTTAGAATGGATTTTTTTTTTAATTTCAGAAGTAAAGACATCAAATGTTTCAGCAAAGAAAAGGCCCTGGTGAGAACTCAGGTTTACAGGTTCACCAATAACCTCTAATTCTAAAAGAAAGTCTCTCTTCCCCAACTGATAAATTGTCAAAGGATATGAATAGGCAGTTTTCAGAGGAAGAAATTAAAGCTATCAGGGCAGCTAGATGGCGCAGTGGAAAGAGCACCGTCCCTGAAATCAGGAGGACCTGAGTTCAAATTTGGCCTCTGACCAAATACTTGACACTTGCTAGCTGTGTGACCCTGGGCCAAGTCACTTAACCCTAACTGCCTTAAAAAAAAAAAAAGAAATTAAAGCTATCTACAGTCATATGAAAAAATGCTCTAAATCACTATGGATTAGAGAAATGCAAATCAAAACAACGCTGAGATACCACATCATACAACATAGGAAAATGATAAATGCTGGTGAAGATGTGGGAAAACTGGAACATTAATGCATTGTTGGTGGAGTTGTGAACGGATCCAACCATTCTGGAGAGCAATCTGGAACTATGCCCAAAGGACTATATTGTGCATACCCTTTGACCCACCAACACCACTTTTAGGGCTATATCCCAAAGATACTATAAAAATGGGAAAAGGACCCACATGTACAAAAATATTTATGGCAACTCTTTTTGTGGTGGCCAAGAATTGGAAATTGATGGGATACCCATCAATTGGGGAATGGCTGAACAAGTTGAGGTATAAGAATGTAATAGAATACTATTGTGCTATAAGAACTGATGAGCAGGTGGACTTCAAAAAACCTGGAAAGACTTATATGAACTGATGCTGAGTGAAATGAGCAGAATCAGAAGAACATTGTACATAGTAACAGTCACATTGTTCAATGACTGACTTTGATAGACTTAGCTCTCCTTAGCAATGCAAGGATCTAAGACAACTTCAAAAGACTGAAGATGAAAAATGTTATCTACATCCAGAGAAAGAACTATGGAGTCCGAATGCAGATCGAAACATACTATTTGCTGTCCCTTTCTTTTGTTGTTTTATTTCTTCCTTCTCATGGTTCCTTCCATTAGTTCTAATTCTTCCATATACCATGACTAATGTGAAAATATGCTTAAAATGAATGTATGAGTAGAGCCTATATCAGATTGCATGCCATCTTGTGGTGGGGGTAAGAGAGGAAGGGGGAGAATTTAAAATTCAAAATCTTATGGAAGTGAATATTGAAAACTAAAAATAAGCAAATTAATTTTTTTTTAAAAAAAGAAATTTAAAAAAGTCTCTCATTTACTTCAATTGGGCACTGCCCACTGCCACATACAAAAGCCATATCAAAGAAGACATTTATAAGGCACCTAGCATAGTGCCTGGCACATAGGAAGTGTTTATTTCCTACCCCATTCCCCATTTTTTAGCATATATTAGAAGAATAGTAGGCCCACAGTATCCAGTCAATGACTCCTAATCCTATGCCAATTTATAGTTGCCTTGATAGAAAGTTACATGAGTTAAATGAGTGAATCTACATGTTTAAATTATTTCTAAAGACATTCTAATATTTCTGCAATGTGATCTTTCAAATTAGAAGAGACAATATAATCTGATGGAAAAAGAGCAACTTGAGTTCTAATCTCCTTTCTATTCTATGTAAGCTGTATAAATTACTTCATTTCTGTGCCTCCAACTCCACAGATATAAAATGGGAACAGTAATAAAGTGGCCCTTCCTATCACAAAGGATATTCTGAGTACAGATGGGGAAACAGAGCAGAACTGTGTTATGTAACTCTGTGTTATGTAACTGTGTATGTAACTCTGGTTTGAGTGGGACAAGTTTAAGATCTTTCTAATGTATTCCCTGTTTTCATTGCGTCCCTCTAACCTTCCCTGTTTTCCCCGTCTATCACAGCTACTCTGGCCTCACTTTCTTCCCTTTAGAGACTTTACCCAGTTGTCCCCCTTGTCCTATCACTGCACATACTTGTCGAAATTCCAAACCTGTTATTCCCTTCACTTATCTCCCACTATCTGCCCTTCTCTGTTTAAGTCAAGCCAATATTTATTAAGTGCCTACTATATGCCAGGCACTATGTTAAGCAACAGAGATACAAAGAAAGGTACAGACAGTTCCTGCTCTCAAGAAGCTCAGTCTAATTGGATAGAGACACACACAGAGCATATATTATACATATTATATATCATGTGTTACATATATCTTATCTGTGTGTCACATATACCCACAATTATGAGTATGTATATATGTGTGTCACATCTATCTTGTTTGTACATGTGTGTGTTGTCTCTTTCCCATTATATTTATATATGTATATGAAATCATATATTTCTCATACACACTTAGAGGTGTGTATGTATATGTGTGCATGTGTATATACATACATACATGCATATATTCTGTGTGTATCACATACACAGGATAAACTGAAATAATCTTAAAGCAAAGGCACTAGCATTACCAGAGATTTGGGAAAGGCTTCGTGCAGAAGATGGGATTTCAGCTTAGACTTGAGGGAAGCCACAGAAGCCAGGAAGTGGAGAATTCCAGCCACGGGGTGGGGGTGTGTGGGGGGTGTGAGGGGGCAGCCACGAGAATCCGTGTTGTTGAAGACAACCTATCTTGTATGAAGAACAGCAAGGAGGCCAGTGTCACTGGATCATGGAGTATTTGGAAAGGAGGAAGGTACAAGAAAGAAGTAGGAGTAAGGTAAAGTAGAAGGGGGCCATGAAAGGCTTTAAAAGCCAAACAGAGAATTGTATAGTTGATCCTTCTCTTTCAAGGGAGCCACCAGAGTTTATTGACTAGGGGGTTGACATGGTTAGACCTATGCTTTAAGAGGACTAATTTGAGAAATGAGTGGAGGACAGAATGGGATAGGGGTAGACTTGAGGCAGCAGGACTAACCAGAAGGCTACTGCTGTGGTATGGATGTGAAATGACAAGGGCTCATAGCACGGTGGTGGCAGTGCCAGAGGAGAGAAGGGGCTGTAGATGAGAGATGTTACTGAAGGTATAAATGACAGGACTTGTCAACTGATTAAATATAGGAGTGTGAGAGAGAGTGAAGAGTCAAGGTTATAAACTCGTGATGGAAAAGATGGGAAAGATAGCGGTACCTTTGACAATAATGGGGAAGTTAGGAAGAGGGGAGAGCTCGGGGGAGAAGACAACAAGTTCAGTTTTAGACATACTTAATTTGAAGTGTCTAAGGGACACTCCAGTTTGAAATATCTAATAGGGAGTTAGAGATCCACTAAAGGTCAGGAGAATGGTTAGGGCTGGATAAATGGATCTGAGAATCATCTGCATAGAGATGATGACTGAATCCATGGGAGCTGATGAGATCACCAAGTGAAATAGCATAGGACAGGAGGACCCAGGACAGACCCTTGAAGGACCCATGGCTAGTGCAGGTGACCTGGATGAAGATCCAGAAAACTGGACTGAGTATTCAGGTAGGAGGAGACCCGAGAACCAAGAGAGAAAATCATGAAAACTTAAAGAAGAGGACATTAAGGAGTAGGAGGGGATCAACAATAGCAAAAGCTATAGCCTTGTAGTCAGGAGGACCTGAGTTCAAATCTGGCCTCAGACACGTAACACTTACTAGCTTTGTGACCCTGGGCAAGTCACTTAACCCTGATTGCCTTGCAAAAAAAAAAAAAAACAGAAAGAAAGAAAGAAAAGAAAAGAAAAAAGAAAAAAAATAGCAAAAGCTAGAAGGATAAGCATTAAGAAAAGACCATCACATTTGGAGATCATTGGTAATTTTAAAGAAAGCAGTTTCAATTGAATGATGTCAGGAGTCAGACTGCAGTGAGTTAAAAAAAAAAAAGTGAGAAGTAGAAGGAAGTGGCAGCATGGATGATCTTCTTAACCAGTTTAGCCATGAAAAGGAGGAGAAATACAGGACAATAGCCAGAGGGGTTGAATCAAATTAGGATGGTTTTTTAAGTATTTTAAGTATGTGTGTGTTTGTAGGCAGCAGAGAAACATCCAACACACAGGGAGAGACTGAAGATTAATGAGAATGGGGATAACAGAGGAGACAATCTCTTGGAGAGGAGAGGAAGAAATGGGATCATTTGTGCATGTGAAGGGGTATGGCAAGGAGGAGAGGGGTCAAGGAGGAAATAGTGGCAGAGGCAGCTAAATGATGTTAGGGGAGAAGACGGTGCTCAGAGAATGGCCTCAATTTTTTCAGTGAAATAGGAGGCAAAGTTCTCACCTGAGAGAACAGAGGGAAGGGGGGACCATGGGAGGTTTGAGGAAAGATGGAAAGATCTGGAAAAAAATGCTGTCATGACTGAGACTGTGAATCTGAGGAAGCTGCAGAACTTTGCTGACTGGGTCCACAACAAATTTACGCGATATAATCTCAAAAGGACGCTGAGAGCTGTCCCCTGCTGGTCTCAAGCCTCCTGAGACCCCTTCCCCATTCCTTATTGGCAGAGGATTTCACTTCTTAATTTATTGAGGAAATCAAGGCTATCAGCCATGATCTCTCTGTTCTTCCTATTTCACAATTCAAAACTCTAGTCCTTTATCCTCTGCTATGTCATTTGCTTCACTATCTGGAGTAGAGGTGGCCCTTTTCAAGCTCAATCCCTCCTTTCCATAAACTTTCCCTTCAATCATTTCCTTGTTCTTCTTCCAATTACCTTTATATACTGGTTTCTTCCCTTCAGCCTACAAACAAGCCCAGGTCTTCCCATCATCAAGAACAAAACAAAACAAAAAAACCCTCTGACTCTACCAGACCCTTAAGCTACATTCTGTATTTCTTCTTTTTACAGTCAAATTCTTAGTGGGGAAAAAAAAAGTCTATACTCATTGTTTTTATTGCCACACCTTGAACTCTTTTAAGAAAATACTTTTATTCTGAACTTAGATACCAAATAAAAGCACTTAAAAATCATAACTCTATATGAAATCATAACTCTCATTTCATACCACTCACTTTATTAAAAAGTATATAATGAATTCCACAAGCTACCCCTGCTTGCCTGTGCCTCTCTCCAAACCCTTTTCTCTTCTCTTTAGTATATTTCTAACAATGTCTCAATGGCTCTCTTCTTTTCTTTGGAGGGGGACAGGAGGCAACCCCCCCACTAAAAATAGAGACAAAGAACCTCTATACACTTCTAAACCCTTTGTAATATGGCTTCTGATCCTACTATGGACTGAAACTGTCCTCCCAATGATGAGTACATGGTGTTTTCTCAGCCTTCAATCTAAGTGACCTGATTTCTGACACTCTTAACAAACCTCTCCATATGCCAGATATTGTTTCCTGGTCTCTTCTACACGTTTGTTTCTGCTCATTCTCCCTCATTCTTGCTGTCTCTGTCTCTCTCAATCTCTTCCCCAACCCCTATGTCTCTCTATCTAATAAAATGCTAGACCTTCAGTCAAGAAGACCCAAGTTTGAATCCCACACCTTAGACACTTACTACTACCTATGTGATCACTGGTAATTCACTTAACCTATCTGGAAGCTCACTTTCCTCATCAGTAAAATGGGGATAACAATATTTGTAGTACTTAACCTCACAGGTTCATTTTGAAGCTCAGTCTTTAAAGACCTATATAAATGTTAGCTATTATTTAATTATGATCTCTATTGCAATGATATGCAAATTTTTATATTCAATCCTAATCTCAGTCCTGAATTCTAGTCCTATACTGTCGATTGTCTGCTAGACATGTACACCTAGTTTGCCCACTGGCACCTCAAACTCAACATATCCAAAATGGAACTTGTTCTCTTCCCCACTAAACACACTCAAATTCCAATTTCTCTATTTCTGCTGAAAGTACTCACATATTACTAGTCACCAAGGTTCTCTACCTTAAGAATTAACTCCTCCCTCTCTTTCACCTTCCAAATCTGATTGGTTGCCAAGTCTTGTCAACTGAACCTTGGCATCTTATATCCATCTTCTTCCACCTTATTTCTTGACTGGATTTGCAATGGCATCCTAGTGGTTCCTAGGCTCCTTTCTTTTACGTTTTCTCTTGCCCAATTCCTCCTCCCTACAGCTGCCAAAATCATCTTCTTAAGTACTGGAACAGGCCACCAAGGAGGATAGTGGATGCTTAATAAATGTTTGCTTTGAATTTCTAATTTTGGAGAGTATCTACAACATTACATTTGTCTCTATGATCCACAGCCTAATGATGATTCAATTCAATAAGAAATGAGTAAATGTCTACTCTACATAAGGCAAGAGGAGATGGAAGGGATCTAAGAAGACATTTAGCCCAACCTCCTCATTTTACAGATAAGGAAACTGAGGCAGAGAGAGAATCAGTGATTTATCCAAGATATAGAAGTAGTAGGTAGAAGACACAAGATTTGAATCTTGGTTTCCTGATACCAAACCTGGCACTCTTTCCATTACACCACACTGGCTCTAGGGACATAAAGATGAAAAAGGGCACGGTCACTACTCTCAAAAACCTTACATTATACTAGAGGAACATGACATCTACAGTAACTACAACATGGCTCAATATGCTAAGAGAATACAAAGAAAAGATCCCAGGTGTCATATTAAGTTGGAAGACAGTGCTATCACAGCTGGTGAGAGGCAGGGAAGGCTTAACAGAAGATGTACTGTCTGATCTGGAGCTGGAAGGAAGGGAGGCATTTAAATTGAAAGAGAAGGGGGTAGGCATGATTGGTCCAGTTAGATTGGGGTGGCATTGAATTCATCAAGTGGAAGAGCAGCATGAAATCAAACCAGAAAGCTCTCTTGGGGCTACCAACAATGTGGAAGGTCTTGATTATCAAGAGAGAGTCTGAAACTTTCCTGCATATTTTAGAAACAAATTTTTAAATAATCTGTCTTCTTCTGCAAAATACTCTATTGAATATTTATTTATTCTTATTTTTACTTACCTAAAAGGTTTTTTAAAAAAAGAGTCTAATTAACATGTAGTTATGTTCAATTTTCTTTTGGATCAGACCTGTGATTTCAATGGCATAGGGAACTCCAAGAGGAGGAAATTCCCTTCACCTATGCAAACCAGCACCTTTGCTGCAACTTACAGTCTTGGAAAACCTCCTAAGGCCCTGAAGGTAAGTGACGTGCCCAGGGTCAGAAGCAGAGTTTGAACCCATCATTTCCTGAACCTGACACCAATCCTCTATCCATTATGACATGCTGCCTCTCCATTAATTTTAATGATATTAACCAATAACATTACAATTTACATTTGCATGAAGTCTTACAGTTTACAAAGAACCCTCAAACATGTCTCACTGGATCCTTACAATATGTCTGTGAGAAAGGCAAGGTAATTACTATTCTCCTCATTTTATAGATGAGGAAACTAACATTCGGAAAGGTTGAGTGATTCTCCTAGGGTAACATAGTAAGAAAGGAAGCTGAAACTACAACTCAGGTCTTCTAAACTGAAAATCAGGTCATTTTCTACAATGATGTGGTCATCTTCCATATAAACACACTGCTGTATAACAAGGAGTTTTAGGACAAATTTTAACATATGTGAGGCATGTTTTGAGGGCCTTCAAAGAAAAATCACAATAAAACTATTATTCATATTAATTTATTTATTAACAAATACAAATCTTATAACTCAATGAAGCAAGAAATCATAGAATTCAATATGGAGTGTTCATCAAATGGAATTATTACCATCAAAACCATATACTTGTACCTGCCCACTGGTTTGCAGCCCTAGAGTATTACCATTTAGTATCCCAGGGGAGCATGCTACTGTTGGGCTGAGGTACATAGTAAAGTTACTTGTTAAAAAAAATTAATTACAGAGATTTTAAAATCGTACTTCCCAAAAAGCAGAAGGCAAATCATTGGCTCAAGGAGAAGGGAATGGGGATGGAGTTGGTGGCTTGAGAAGGCTTGGAACAGCTGCTATGGAAAACACAATTAAGTTAATCTGAGATTAATTAAAGGATTTATGAAAAGTCAATGCTGAAGTTGGCATGAATTTGTAGCATGCCTAGTCAGTGCACTCAGCAGCTTGGGAAATGGCTGGTATCAGTAGGTGTAGGTGTAATTTAATGGTGCCTTTAAAGGTAAAACTAGAATTATTAGTGCCAGAATACTGTTAAAGATTTAGGCTTCACTTCCCCATGATCTTTCTTTTTCTGGGTTAGAGGGGAAGAGTATAATAATCCATTTTCCCATGTCAGATCCAGAAGGAAAAAGCATGGCAAGCATCAAAGAAGGTTCCAAACACATTCAACCCAGAATCATATGCTAAGATTCATGAAAGTACTGGTGCCTACATCATGCCAACTCTTTAACCAGGAAAAGAGATATCGAGTAGGGCAGAGCTTTATGATATTCACATCTCTGCTTCTTGTAAATCCAAATCAATTCAACATTCATTGAGCAAAGGGCAAGACCTTGTGCAAAGTAAGAATAACTACACTCGGAAACTTCAGAGAGGCAACTGTGTGTGTGTGTGTGTGTGGCAGAGGACGCTTTGAAATAGTGGGAAGAATGCTGGACTCTGAAGACCTTGGTTCAAGCCTGGGCTCTGAGACTTAAGTAGCTGTGTGACCCTGACCTTTTAACCTCTCTACACACCAGTTTCCTCATTTGTAAAATGGGAATAAGAGAAACCCTCATAACCTGCCTCAAAGGGCAGCTAGGGAGAAAGTGATTTATAAATGGAAAGGCCCCTGCAGATGCGAGCTATTATCTGTAAGTAGAGAGAGTGTTGAATGCTCTTGAGATGAAGTGGATCTTACCTATCAGGCAGTGGACTCGGTACAGATCAGATTTTTGAAGCAGATTCCGTAGCTTTGCCTGAGTTTCAGTCACTTCCGCACAGTTACCATTTGCACTGGGCTTCTGTTGAAGCACTTTCTCTAGATAGAGGATGGCTAAGTGGGTGTGATACTCTTCCTTCTGCAGAAAAAGAGTAAATAATAAATACATACATGTAATTGCACATATGAATGGTAAAAAAATACCTTGCCACAGGAACCAAAACAACTCCCTTTTAACTGAAATTACTAACACCAATTAATAAACACTCCCACAGCATTTTAAGGTTTACAAAGCATTTCCCCCACCTCCAGCCTCTTTATGAAAATCATAAAGGATAAGACACAGGGGAGAGGATTCTGGGAAGATGGTGGAGTAGGTCAGAAAATTCCAAGCAAGCTCTCAAGATTTTCCCTCACAAAAAAGATAAAATAGCACCTTAAGGCGAACAAAGTGTGGGTAAAAATAAATAAGAATAGGGACACAAAAGGTGTCTTCCTGGGACAATTCCAGAGGATCAGGAAAAATCCCAGGAAGGGATTTGGTCCTTGTGAAGAGTAAACAATTCCAGGCTAGGGTCCCCTTTAACAAGCAGCAAGCCCTGGGTTAGCTGGCTTGGGAGTCTTCCTCGGCCCAGCCACAGGAACTTTTACCCTGGGACAGCGAGGAGAGTTGGGTTTCGGAGCCCAGGAAGGTCAAGGAAACCTCTGGTGACAAGGAACGCCAGAACTAGCTGTGCTGTAGAGTGGGGCAGGGTTGAGAAGGAACCAGCACGGGCCGGTGAGTACAGACGTGGGCCAGGGGGCAGACGCCAGGGATGCCTCTGGCTATGGGCACTTACAGGAGTCTGGAGGTTTGGCTTTGGTTCCAGGCTAGAGGGGAGAACTGAAGATCTGAAGCCAGAGGCACCACCCCCCACCCATATCCCAGGACTAGAGGTGATTACAAAAATTAAGCTATTACTGCAAAAAAATGCATAGGCAAAGGAGGAAGAATCCAACCATAGAAAGTTATTATGGGAATAGAGAAGACTGGGGTTCATCTTCAGAGGAGGCTGTTGAAGCAAAGAAACCTTCTTCTACCCCAAAAGGTAACGTCAAATGATCACCTGCCCAAAAAGAATTCATAGAAGAACTTTAAAAAGACTTAAAAATCAAATGAGAGAAATGGAGGAAAAACTTAAAAAAAAAAACTAAGAATAATCCAAGAAAAACAAGAAGATGATGAAAAGAAAGTCCACCAATTAAAAAAGGAGACCCAGAATCTTAAGAAAGAAAATGACACTTTGAAAATTAGAACTGGGCAAGGCAAAGCAAGCAAAATTATAAGAGACCAAGAAATAATTAAACAAAATACGAAGAATGAAAAAATAGAAGAAAAAGTGAAACATCTTATAAAAAAATTGATCTGGAGAACAGATCAAGAAGAGAAAACATAAAAATAACTGGACTATCTGAAAGCTATGATAAAAAAAAAAAGAATCTTGATACAATAATATAAGAAATAAAAGAAAATTGTCCTGAAGCATTTGAACAAAGGCGGAAAGTAGAAATAGAAAAAATCCATCTATCACCACTTGAAAGAGATCCTGTGAAGCAAACTCATAGGAATATTGTAGTCAAATTCTGAAATCCCCAGCTCAAGGATAAAATATTAAAAGCAAGAAGTAAAAATCAATTTAAATATGATGGTGCCACAATTAGAATCACTCAAGGATTTGCAGCAGAAACACTAAAGGACTACAGGTCTTGGAATACTATATATCGAAGAGCAAAAGAACTGGGGCTCCAGCCAAAAATATCATACCCAGCAAGGTTAAGTATAATTCTGAATGAAAAAAAAAAAAAAAGACATTTGATCAACTGTCAAGACTTTCAAGACTTTGTTAAACAAAAAAAAACACAAACAACTTAATAGAAGACTTGACATACAAGAGCCAAGAGAAACATAAGGTACATATCAAACATTGATTACAAGGGATTTAATAAGGACAGATCATTTGCTTTCTATATATGTAAAATGCATGTTTAAGATTGTCATTAGTAACTGGGTATTTCACAAGAAAGATTGGGGTAGACCTGAGTATGACATGACTTCAAAAAGTAAAACCATTTAGGAACAGCTATAAAGAGTAATTATTTTATACAAATGAGGTAGACACACTTTTTTTTGTTGTTTGTTTTGTTTTTTGGGTTTTTTTTTTTTTAGGCAACTGGAGTTAAGTGATTTGCGCAGTGTCACACAGCTAGTAAGTATCAAGTGTTTGATCTGAGGCCGGATTTGAACTCAGGTCCTCTTGACTTCAGGGCCGGTGCTCTATCCACTGCAACACATAGCTGTCCTTTAAATGAGGTGCAAGAGGAAAAATTAACATAGAGGAATTAGATGGGGGAGGAGGGCTGGTAGTTCTGGTAACCTATTTTCATCGGGAATGGGTTTAAGGGGGAACAATATATATATATGTATATATATATCCAGAAGAGTATAAAAGTCTTCTAAATTCAGAAGAAATAAAACGATAAGTGGTTGGGGAGGGGTGAGAGGACAAGGGAGGATCTCTAGAGGGGAAGGGCAGGGAATAGGTTAAAGGGGGGGTACAGAAGGGTGTTTATACCAATGGGAATGGGAGGATAAGAGAGGGATCTCTAGAGGAGAGGGTGAAGGAATAGGTTATAGGGGACTATAGAAGGGCGTTTAGATTTACGGGAATGGGAGGACAGGGGAAGAGATTCTTGGAGGTGGGCAGGCTTAGTAATAGGAGGGCAAGGCAGTGGATGGAAGTAAAGTAGAAGAGTCAGGAGGCATAGGAAACAAGAGATACACACAAACATGAAAACAAAGATCAGGAACAGAATTTGTTAGGGAAAGTATATGTCTATATATGCATGTACATATATTTATATATGTATGTATATATCTATATCTATACAGAAAGGCCACACGTGGCCTCTAGGCCATCCGCAGGTTTCCTACCCCTGATCTTAGACCCTGTAGAAGGAAGATAGCAGGATTTAAATAAAATCATCATTATAGAGACTGCTATGGGAAAATAAGAAAGCCAAATTATCCAGACTTACAACTTCCTTCATTCCTTTCAAGGAAGATACAAGAGGAAGATGGGGGAGAAAAAAAAAAGCTGAATGTGAAAATGGGGGCAGAGTGGGGGAGAAGGGAAGCTATCAGACCAACAGAACATATGTCTCAAGGTCTTCACATCCCAAGGCCTCTTGAAGTCATCCAGACAGTCCATTAAGTATTTACTGAGCACCCATACAGTGCACAAGGTGGTTTGGTACAATTTTACTCAATGTGCTCTGTAAGAAATTCTGTAATCTAACTCAGTCTCTTTCCACAATTACCGTCAAAGTATAGCTTGTACTTTTTTCATGGAATTGTGGACTTGGAAGGGATGCCTGAGGTCACCCAATCCAACTTCTTACCCAGTACATCAATAGCATTGTAGAGAGAAGACTAAAAATTTTTGAAGCACTTACTTGTACTCTCCTATCCACAACTAGATGTTCCAGGTATTTAATAATAGACTTAGGGTATTTTTTAAGGCAGTTGATGATGTCATCTGGGTTGAAGATATCTTTCTGGTGCTCTTCCAAAGGTCTTCTGGTAAAAATCTGAACTCCAACCTGAAAAAAAGTGACATTTTAGATAACAGGTTTTTCAAAGTCACCTTATTCTTTTCCTGTTCTAGTTACTGCCCATTTCATACTTCAAGTGAGGAATTAATCATTAATAATGATGAACAATAGAAAGCATGCAAGCACAAAGTAATGCAACATTTATGCTGGCAAAGATTAAACAACATGGGATCAGAGGCAGAACCTACGGTCAAATTAAATGTTGAAACTTCGTTAAAGTTCAGATGGAAAGATATTTCTGGGAAAAGAAGAGGAGAAGCATGCATGTGTGTATGTATACACACACATTACACCTGCTATGTGCCAGGCACCATGCTAATCACTTTTTACAAATATCATTTCATTTGATCCTCACAATAACCTATTAATATCTCCATTAGTTAAATAACTTGCCTAGGGTCACGTAGCTAATAAGTGCCTGAGGCTAAATTTGAGTTCCAGACTTCTTGACTCCTGGTCCAGTCCTCTATCCATTGAACTGCCTCATTACACAGTAAAAGTTGGACAGAGAAAATGAAGGGTTTACTTTATCATGGGTTTTGACAACATGAAGAGTAACAACTTGGAGCAATCCACAGATCACCTAAGTATAACAATGTCCTCTTGCTGAAGAACAACTGAAAAATCATCAGAAAAAAAAAACAAACAACTGACCTAGTGGAATATCACTATGCTGTGAGGAATGATGAGCAGGTTGATTTTAGAAAAACATGAAAAGACTTCCACGAAATAATGAAGAATGAAATGAGCAGAAATGTTGTATACAGTAACAGAAATATTGTTCAAAGAAAAACTGTGAATGATTAAGTTATTCTGAGTATTATAAATGTTCAAATTAACTGCAAAGAATCTATGAGGATTCTATCCATCTCCAGAGAAAGAACTGACAAATAGAACTAGGCATAGTATAGTTTTACATACATACACACATACATCACATATGTGTGTATGTATGTATATATATGTATCTACATCTATATATCTATAACTATCTCTGTCAAATGGTGGCCTTCTATAGTGTGTGGGTAGGGGGGAAGGGGGAAGGGAGACAGCTTGGAACTTAAAATGAACCAAAAATAATTAAATTACATTTTTTAAAAATTGACCATTCAATAGTTGATTCAATAGAATTAACTCTCCATTATCTGCATATAGATTGTCCATATAGATCTGTGAGCTGTTTAAAGTGGCAAATATTTAAATAGTTTTGTTGCTGCCTGCCACCTTACATGTTCCTGTAACTTGATTTGTACTAAAACAACTGAAAAGTTATTTCAAGGGAAATTTAACAACAAAGGAAACATGTAGGAAAGAGAGAATGAGGGGAAAAAATCATTAAAAAATGGAAAAATCTCATAAAAATGATTTTTGTATCATTCACTATTTTGGAATTTTTTTATATCACTACCTTCCTCTGCTAGATAACTGACAGCTGACTACCTATCTAGAACTGCTATTCATCTTCATAATACCTATAAGTGTTTCCAATATAACAGGTTTAGGTGATTTACACAACATTATGGAAAGATGAGGAAATGAACTTCTGGATGTGAGAAAACAATATTCAAACACAGGAAAATACCCCAAGAAATGTGTGGCTATTGCTGAAAGCAAAATCCACAAGTTTCTGGGAGAGAGAACTTATTCACTGTACAAGTACTCTTCAAGCTTCCTCACCCACTAACTAACCCTCTTTCGTATCACAAAACCAAGATCAACATTTTAAAACTGTTCACAGAGCATGATGTACAATGTTCCCAATGCTATCAGTGGCCATCAGCAATTTCTGTGTCCTCTTTGAAAACAGCTTTATGAAGAATAGAGGCAGTACTCTTAAGGCACGTGGCACAACTGTTGCAAATTCTGTACTGAACCCCACAAGGGTATTAAAATCCAGGACAACTTGTCCCAGGTTTAGCCAAACGTGTCCCACTGGACTGCATGCTTCATCCCCACAGTCCAAGGTGAACTCAGGCAGTTCAGTGCTTTACATGGAGGGAACAGACATTTCTCCTACTTCTTTGAATCTGCATCTGTTCTGCTTTTGGACTGTATTAAAAAGCCTTCTATTGTTCTCCCTGCCTCAAATGTCTCCCCAGCTCTATCCTCTCAGCTGTCAGAATAATTTTCCTCAAGTGTAGGGCTCACCATGTCAACCTATTACTCATTAATTTCCAGCAGGTCTCTATTGGTCACATAATACCCTTTACAACCTGGTCCCTTTTTACCTTTTTCATTCCCTTACACTTTACTCTCTGCTATGAACTCTATGACCCAGTTTCATCAGACTACTTGCTTTCCTTGAACACAAGGAAAGAGAATTAACTCTCTTCTTGACTGTGCCTTTGCAGTGGCCATTGGCCCTGCTCACTCACCTCCACCTGCTAGAATCCTGGGCTTTCATGACGTTGCCCCAATCAAACCTTCTGCAGGAGGCCCTCTCCTGTCCTCCTTGCTGCTTGTGTCTGCCCTGAGATTGCCTTCCTTCCACTCTCTTCCACTGTTATTTACACACTGTCTCCTCCTTTAGAATGTAAGTTCCTCCTTGTGAGGCAGCCCTTCTTACCCCAGCACTTCACACAATGCTTAGTACACACAAGGGCTCAATAAATTTAGCTAATTGACTGGCAAGGACCTTGTACTATAGGGCAGCAGCAACCTCACCCATCCCTACTGCCCGGCATGACTATACTTCATTCCTGCCTTCTTTTCTCTCTTTCCCAAGACACAACAGCTTCTTTCTGCCCACTCTAGTCTATAGCTTTTGCCTTCTTGCTTGCTCCTACCTAAGGCAGACCAGCCCTGGGCTCTGATAAGCAGATTAGCAACAGCAATGGGAATGGCAAGCAGCAAGGACAATGGATTCTCATGTGGCAGTGTACCTAGTATGCAGGGTTCTGTATTTCCAGCTTCTGTCTAATCCTCTCCTTCAGGGAGCCAAGCAATGGAACACTATTGTTCATTCCAACTTTGCTTTAGCTCACAGGAAGGGAAATGACAGACTTTAACCTGTTAGGTGAAGTTTCAAAAAAAAGAGGACATTTTACAGGGAAAGCTACAAAACATGACTTGGCAAGAAATAACTTGCCTCAAGAGATAAATCAGAAAAGCCTGCCACAGTGGCTCTGAAATAGGGTACTTACCTAAATGCTCAAGTTAAGACAGGTGTTAAGATAGGAAGGTGTTAAGGGGGAATAAAAAAAGTAAAATACAAGTCAGAAAGTAGCTCAATATTTTTTTCTCTAAAAATGACATTTTTTTCCTCAACCAAAGAAAGAAGACATGTATGAAGCACAAACCTCCTCACTTTTCTGCAATACCCACTCAGCATATTTCCACACTAGTTCTTGGTCTAAGCAGTAGGTTAGGAAATCAACAATATATTCATAAAGGTCTGAACGAGTAGAGTCATGGATTTCTCCATTCACAATGTTCACCCATAACTGGAAAAAGGAAAAGAAATAGGTTAATTAACTATATCTCTCTCCAGAATTAGCTTAAATAAGATTAAGGCACTTTGTCTTTTATTTTTCTTTTTGAGTTTCATCAATTTTTGTGACATCACTGTCATTTCCCCAGCAATTCCTGTGTTCCCCAATAAAACTATTTAATGTAACAAAGAAATATAATTAAGTAAACCATAGCAGCATATGCCATATTCTGCACCTGAATCCACCACTCCTCTACATAAAGCAGGGATTACCTATTCTTTTTATCTTGACATCATTCTATGAACAGCATTATGTATGTAGCTTATGGAGAAAAAAGAAAAAAAACAAGGGGCTGAAGGCTCCTCTCAAAAAGGGTTCATATAAAGTCATTTCCAGAGAACCCACAGTCATGACTGTAGCCACTAGAAGTATGTGACTTAAGTGACAATCATTGCCTTCACCACTTTTTGCTGAGGTAATGCTACCACATATCAAACCATAGAATGGTTTTGTTCTCTATTTCAATGTTCATTAGTCCAATTACTATGAAATTTGTGTAGATTTGTGAGGATAAGAAGAAAGCTTTCGGTAACATTTCCTTAGAAATGGTGTTCCTACCAAAAAAAATGAGAAAAATAATTATTAATAACATGATTTGGGGAAATTCAGATCTTCCCCTTTTTCTATCATCCTCATTTCAAGACATCAGTCTCTGATGGTTGAGCTAACCTTCTCTTCTACCTGACCCCATCCAACCTTACAAGGAATCTCTAGTCTAAGGTGAATTCCATTCAATCAAACTTGGGTGGAGATAGATCCTTTTGTCTAGACTGCCCAAGGCTGGGGATGGTCTGGATATAGGAATAGTCTCCCTCTCACCAAGAATGACATAATGTCACCCGTTGGAGTGAGCTTACTTCTCTTTGTAAGGTCCACCTCTCATTAATTGTTAACCAATAAGAGTTGAGTGCCACCCTTAGGAATACTCTTCCAAAAGGGCCTATAAGCTGTGAGCCTGCCATGAACATCTTTGGTCTAAGACTCAGCCAAATGACCATCCTTTTATTAAAATGCTGGCATTATTAATAAAATGATTAAATTACTCAGAAATTATGTCTCTTGAACCTTTTTAAACATCACAAAAACTCTATCTTTTTTGGTCCTAGAAAAGTGTTCTAAATCAAGCTAAGATGACCAGTGTTTAGACCCATCCCATCCCATCAAGTTGGTATGATTTTAAAAAATACACGTGAATAAAGCAGTAATTACATTGATACTCTAGAGAGGCCAAACAAACCTGCACTGCAGCAGCATCCTGGCCATTATAATGATAAAGAAGTCCAAGTGCAAAGTATCTGAAAGGAAAAATAAAAGTAGTCAGTGTATAGCCTTCTCCATCTTGCTCATGGAGCAACGAAGTCACACACACACACACACACACACACACAGAGTTTAGGTGGATGGATATGCTTTGGTTTTCTACAGAAAACGTATATGTAGCCCAGGATGGCCAATGAGAAAAGGTAAGGACGATTAATACCATATTAACATTATATATTAACATCAAATCTGAGATGTTGAAAAATGATAACTTGATGAAATTTTTATTTTAAATACAAAATCTCTTTCAGCATAAAATGTGTTACTGCTGGCCCTGAAGTACACTGTTTCAAATAATTTTAAAAATACACATATATATCACTCATCACTTCATAAACTGCTTCTCTTCTCTACAACTTCTAGTTGTAACGAGCCATGACATAAGACGCAATGTAGCACAGTGGGCAGAAAAGCCAAAGAGACCTGAGTTTAAGTCCCACTTTGGACACATCCTGGCTGTGTGACCCTGGACAAGAGCAAAGGGGTCAGAAACCTGGGTTCTAGTCCCAGGTCTGCCAGCTATGTGGCTTTAGAATGGAAGCCTAATGTATTGGAAGCCTAAGGTTCCTTCCAAATTTAAAAGATTGCCTACAATAGATGGATAAAGCATTTATTAAATGCTTACTGTGTGCCATGACATATACTTGAATGTCATTATAATGTCTGTCATCCTGATCTGAGGCTTCCTCCATTTCTTTAAAATACTAATGATAAGCATGGAACCCAGTCATGTGCTAGGCATCCAAATGAACAGAATTAGATATTCTCCTATTCAAACATTCATTATTAATGGCCAGGGAAAGGTCTCAATCTTGTGCCACTCTTCCCCTGAGGAAGCCATGATATACAAAGTTTGGCTTTTTCCCTGAAGGGAGAAACTCTCTGGGCATCTTTCAGTAGTATTCTGGGTTCCTGGTTCTATAAAGCACTACCGTGTATTTTCTTAACATTATTATCTAGGTTCCAGTGTATTTTCTTAACATTATTATGCTATCAATAATACTTTAAGAACCACCTGAAAGGAACATTTCATTAATCAGTTAGATACTAAAAATTCTGATGTTCTTCATAAGTGCCCACTCTATATAGCACAATGTGCTAAACTGGTTCCAGGGGAAATAGGAGAAATTAACAGCACTACCTTAATCCTGTTATTATTCAGTGGTTTCCTACAGAAATGAAGAAAGTAACTTCTTCCAAGGCTGAAAAACTCAACCAGTAAGAACTGGACCGGTATTAAGATTTTTAAAAGCTTTTCCTTTTTCCTGCCAGTTCTAAGCTGAGTTATCATTCATTGCAGGACATCCTTGGTTTTTTAATAAAATGCCAACGTAGTTTCTTTCATCTGTATAAATTTATAGATTTAAGCATGAGGCCCTCCCAAAGTAAAGGAGAAATGTAAGAATTACTTTAACTCGAGGAAAAAGCAGTTAAATGGTGACTGATGTTAACTAACTTTAACTGACTGATAATATTGATTGTACTACCCAGAGATCCCTTGATGATAGAATTGAATCTGAAAACCAAGACCACAGTATTAAAATCTGACCTAGGCTTTGAATGATCATGCATATTTCTGCCACTATCCTGACTTAGAAGAATCATTCACTTTTTGATGTATATCCCTTGGAAAGCTCCAATTTTAGGATTATGCCATCCAGGCTTAATTTCTAGACCAGAGCTTCTTAATTATTTTTGTGTGTGTGACATGAACCCATTTGGCAATCTAATGAAGAAGACCACGGACCCCTTTTCAGAATGTTTTTTAAAATATATAGGATTGCAAGAGAAACTAATGAGATTGAAATACAGCTACCAAAATATCCATTAAAAAAGTTCATGAACCCCAAGTTACAAACCAATGTTCTAGACAGTAGCCCTTACCAACCACATCTTTCAGGAATGGAGGGTGTCTAGTACATGCATCATTGCTATCCCATCTTGGAAAAAATGACTCACTTTTTGTGTTTCTCAAGCCACGCCACACTATCTGTTAAAAGGCAGGAGTTCTCTGTGACCAAAAGGTCCAGCAAGCTTTCGTGATCTGCTTCTGCATACAACTTGAGCAAAGCAGTGTCAATATCTTCTTTGTAGCCATTTGCCACTTCTGTGCTACGGACCTCCTTTAAGTAGCTCATGAGGAATCTTTTGCACTTGGTCATCTTCTCCTGGTCCCCTTGAGTCAGCTGGTTCAGGTCTGCATACTCATGCAGAGGGGGGTGAGACCGTGTGAATGAAGAAGTAGTAGGCAACAGGAAGGGATACAGAGATATCAGCTCCCGGACATCAAGCTGGCCGCTTCTGCAATTACAGTGTCAAACTAAATGAAGCAAAAAAGAAAGAAAGAGTACACATAGGCACACAAAAACAATACTGAGGTTGTGTGCAAACATACACACATTTCTGGTCTTGGGGACATTCTTTAAAAAAAAAAAAAACAAAACCATTTATCGGTAAGTATAACTTGGCACAGACCGAAATCTATTTAGGCTTGTTTCTGTACACATACTTATATATTCAAAACTTAAAACTAATGTAAGAAGAAAGAAAAGGATGATGAGTCACATACTTCCTGAGTAAGGAAGTTGGGAAACTTTGTAAGGATAAAGGTTTCCTGGGGGAAAAAAAAGCTAAATCAATGTGAGGATGAGCAACTTGTTTAAGCCAGAGGACACAATCTTTAGAACATCTGATAGTAATATACAGTATTCATAAAGGCAGCAGCTTTCAAGGGGTATTTATTTAAACCCTTAATCTAACTAAACAAAAACTTCTATAATAGCTAATAGCTAGCATTTATATAGGACTTTAAGGTTTACAACACATTTTTTTTTACATTCATCTCATTTGATCTACCAAAATTTTCAAAAGTATTTTTTCAAAAGGCTAGATACTTTATCTGGACCCTTTTTTTTTTTTTAAGAGAGCAAGTAAATGCAAGAGGAGAGTGCAACCGTAATTATAAACTATACTTTATATAAAGGGAATTATGAGAATTATGAAGCAGCATGACTTTTACTTTATATTTTGGTTTGTAACTGCTAACCAAATAAAATATAAACTCTTTAACCTGGCATTCAAAGCCCTCCACAATATCTTTTCAATCTTACTCCAAACAATTTTCCTTCACACATCAGCAGTCCAGACTAACTGGAGTATTGACCATTCACTGCTTTTGTCATGCATGTCTTTACTGCTTGTGTGCCTTTATACCTGTGACTCCAATTCCTAGAATGGTGATCTTCCATATCCTTACCTGTAAAAACACCTCCCCTCTTTCATGAGCAGCTTAGGTGCTATTTTGTCCCATGAAGCTATTCTGTACCTGATTCCCCCCAGTGAAAAGTCATGTCTTCCTCCTTGAATTTCTCAGACTACTTTCTCTGCACTTCTAGGCATCTATGTAACAACTTGTATTATGGTTAGCTCTGTATTTGTCTTATCTCTCCTGTCAGACTGCAGGCAAGAACTATGTCTTATCTCACCTTAGTATTTCCAGGTTCTAGGACAGCACACTGAACATAGCAGGCATTTAATGAATGGTGAATTGAAATTAATCCCTGTCAGCATTTCATAACCAGCTTTCTTTTTGGCCCAATAATAGTGCAGAATCTCAAGAAAGAATGAGTAAGATTCACTTCTGATGGGGTAATGGAGAGAGCGCAGGACTCAGAGGGAGAACTAGGTTTGAATGCTGATTGACATCTACTAGCTAGGGGAACATGCACAAATTGCTAAATTTCTCTGAGCCTTAATTTCCTTATCTGAAAAATGGAGATAATGATATTGTAGTGCTTGCCTCACAGTATTGTGAGGGTCAAATGTAGAAACCTTTGCAAACTTTACAATGCTATCTGTCAGTTATTGTTAATAGCAGCAGCAGCAGCAACCATAACATACACCAGTATTAGAAGGAAAACCACAAATCTCTTCTACAGGCAACTGTCTTTTAACACTTCAAAAAATGTAGTAGGTCTCCTTTTTGTCTCTCTGTAAGCTGGGTGAAAAGAAAGTACGCAAAGCTGCTGCTATCCCATTTGGCTCAGAGGACAGGGAAAGTGAAAAGTACCAGCCCCCCTTCCCAGGAGAGAAGAAAAGGGAGGAAGAAAGGAAGAAAAGGGAAGGAGGGTGGGAGGAAAGAATGTATACTTTTGAAGAGGGATTAATTATAAAGATGGAGTGTATCTCTAAGAGAATAGGACAAGATTTTAAGACGAGCAGTCTTTCCTAATTTTTTTTTTTTTAAATAGGACAGGAGAGGCAGCATGGTAGAGAGAGCACAGATGTGGGAATCAGAAAACTCTGGGTTTGAATTCTACATCAGACAATTACTAGCTATGTCACCTTGGGCAAATCACTTCTTTTCTGTGCCTCAGTTTCCTTCTCTGTTAAAAAAAAAAAAAGGGGGATTGGACTCTGACTCCTAAGGTCCTTTTCATCTCTAAAACTATGATCCCATGATCCTATCAAGTCACTTTATAGAAGTCAATTCCAAAATCCTCCTTGATGGCCTGTTCTAGTACTTACGTTTAACCAATTAACCTCTTCTTGTTCAATTTTCTATAGAAAGAATAAAAGCAGCATTAAGAGGGAGGGCTCTGGATTTGGAAGACCCAGGTTCAAACTCCACTTCTGCCTCTTGAGCCTTTTTCCTCACCCGTAAAATGGGGATTATTATAATAATCCTTGTATTACCTATTCAGAGGGTCATTGTGAGGCATGAACTTGACTAAATGTAAAGTGCTATGTAAGTGTAAATACACAGGACCATAGATTTGGAGTTAGAAGGGATCTCAGATTCATTTTACAGAAGAGAAAACTAAGATATAGGGAGATTAAGTGACAACATGGATAATTAAGTAATAGAGTCAAGATTAGAAAGCAGGACCTCTGATTCCAAATCCAGAACATTCTCCAATTCAGAGAGCATGTGGTCAACGTCCTCCCAGGAACCTTTCATCTATTATTAAGAATTATGAAGGTCATCCTTTTGATTTTTTTTTTGACAGGTTAAACAACCTCAAAATCCTTTCCTTCACAAAAATTGCCATAGTGTGCTCCTCTAATTTCACTCTAATTAAAGCTGCAAATAGTTGGAGAGTGAAGAGATGTAAGTCAAATGATCAGCATTAATTCAGAAGCAATAACTGACATTTCTATTTGATGTACAAGACATAATGGTATTATGAGAGCCATAACTAGCACAGGGTCAGTGGGATTCTGCCCGAGGCGGCTGCACCTCAATGAGAGGAGAATATGCTGTTCCCTCTGCTAGTTCTGGGCCTTGTGGCCCTTTCCCAGCCATGTTACATACTCTCCCTGGGCAGGTACGTGCTGACCTCCCCAGTAGAGACTTCAGGATCTTGATCTCCCCTCAAATGAATTTGCCCTAGGGGCTAGAGTTCCTACTGATAACTCTAGTTATTATCTGTCCTACAGCACTACATTCTAGAAAGATCTTTTGACCTTGAAGAGCATAACCTACTTTTTTTTTTCAGGAGGATCAAGGTAATGATAGCTTTAACACCAACATTCCAATTTACCTGAAAAGTTCTTTAGCTTCTAGGAACTGAAGCTGTGCAAACTGTATAAACCCCGCCTGCTGCAGGATTCTTCTGTACATTACCTGCAAGGAAAGAGACGATTTGCATTTCTAAGAGAGAACAAATCATCACTTCTTCATTACCTCAAAAGATTCAGGATTTCATCAGGGTCAGAAATTCCCTCTATCAATATACCTGTACTTTGGTTGATAATCTTATGAGTTGCTATGGTTAAAAAAAAAAATCATCCCAGTGGCAAACCTTTGGGTGATAAGCCTCCCCAGAGTTAGACAGGCTAGTCTTCAAATGCCAAACACACAGCCTGTTGCTAGAACCATATGCAAAGCTTTTTCTTAGGTGGTAAGGCCTGCTGGAATTTCTACTCTACTGCCAACATTGCAGTCAAGGACCCAAGGCTACTGCCACAATGTGAAGAGGCACTGGTATTTGAACTTCAGTGCTTTTTGGCTAAGATCATTACTATGATAATTTCTTAAATGGGTTCTTTGATTTCAGTCCCTCCTTCCAATCCTTCCAGATTAATTTCCCTAAAGGATCACTTTTATCACATCATTTCCTCATTTGAGAGCCTATAACAGCTCCTTACTGCTTATCAAATCAAGATTTCACTCTTCAATTTGGTATTTAAGTACCTTCCCCAACAGCATATACACTGTTGTTTGTTTAGACTTCTCTCCCACTACTCCCAATAGGCCAACTCCTTGTCATCCTCATATGTGCCATGCTCATTACATGCCAAATCTAAATTTTATACTTTTTTCAAAGTCCAGCTCAAGACCGACCTCCATCAAGTGCCCAAAGAAACCAGGCTACCTATCTTCTATCCACAATCATCTTTGTCTTAATTCTGTGAATTCTAATTATGTACATAGACTTCAACAGAATATCTTGAACCAGTCTATCTGCTGTCTTGAATTATTCTCTAATTGTTTTGCATATATACATATATATAGTGTACATATGGCGGTGTGTATATGTATCTCTGTGTATATATACACACATAACATATATGGGTACACACACATATATATATGTAAATATGTATATATATGTGTGTGTGTATATGTGTGTGTATATATATATATATACATATATATATATAAAACACACACATACATTTCTTTTTTTGTTGTTGTTTTGTTTTGTTCCGGCGAGGCTATTGGGGTTAAGTGACTTGCCCAGAGTCACACAACTAGTAAGTGTCAAATGTCTGAGGGCACATTTGAACTCAGGTCCTCCTGACTCCAGGGCCAGTGTTCTATCCACCGCACCCCATAGCTGCCCATGTGAAGTTTTAACCTTTATTAAAACTTTTGGATATTGTACATCCAACATTTTGATATTAGATACACACTTCTAGGTGTGTATATTAGGTACTGGACTGATATTTCCTGCTTGATTCTACTTCATTTTCAGAGAAAAGACATCCTTTTCCAACCACAGTGTCTGAATAAATCAAGAGAGAAAATTTTAAAAGCACTCTTTCAACTAGACATTAAGAACCAAAAATGGTATAGCTTCCGAAGGGTGGCCAACAACCACACGATGGCAGCAAAGGGTAAGAAAATAAGGGTAGCTGTTACTTTACATAATCAAAAGGTTTCTGAGAAGTTGGACGTAAACAGAAATTAGAAACAAAAGGCCATTCTGAATTTCCTCTGCTCTTTTGCTGTAAGCTCAGAAGGGGGAGTGGCCCTTCTTGTCAAAGCTAAACCCATCACTTGTGCTTGTGATCAATCCCATTCCTCTTTTGGGAACTTTGCAAATAAGAAAAACTTTCTTGAAAATGCAATGGATTGAGCCTAGTACATTGAATCTTATTATAAAGACATGAACTTTCAAGTAAAGGATGGTCAGAAGGCAATTACAGTGAGCAAGTTATGGTACAATGAAAATACTGTCAGTAAATTTAATCTTAAACAGAAGTTTTTCAGGTAAAATTTGTTTGAAGCCCCTTGTTCCCCAATCAGTCGTTGGCTGGCTCAGACTGGCAAGTCATTTAATCTCAGTTAAGGTGTTAACTGATAGTTAAAGTGTTAGAAGATCAAGCCTCTCCAAAGGCATTTGCATTTTTATAGGAGATTGTTTAGAGAGAAAAAACAACTAATAAGGCCTGCCCAGGGCACAGCTAGGGAGTTAGGTACAGCAGATAAAGTGGTTTTGTGTTTTTGTTTTTGTTTTAAATTGAAGGTTTGTGGAGAGCAAGTCAAGTCAATCACCACCATTTTCCCCAATAGCATGGGCTCAAAATCACGTCTCTTTGTCACATTTTGGTAATTCTTATGATATTTCAAACTTTTTAATTCTTATTTGATCCGTTATGGTGATCTGTGACCAGTGATTTCTGATATTACTATTATAATTGTGGTGTTTTGTTTTGTTTTTTTGGGGGGAGGTAAATTTAATTGGTAAATGTTGTGTGTTCTGACTGTTCCACTGACCTGCTGTCTCTGTCTCTCTTCCTTCTCCTCCAGCCTTCCTATTCCCTGAGATAGAACAATATTAAAAGTAGGCCAATTAATAACCCTACAATGGCCTCTAAGTACTCCTGTGAAAAAAAGAGCCAAATGATGTGGCAAACTTCATCATTGCCTTACTTTAAGAAATCGCCACAGCGAACCCAACCTTCAACAACTATGACCCTATCAAAATCAAGGCAAGACCTTCCACCAGGAAAAAGATTATGACTACTGAAGGCTCAGATGTTGGTTAGCATTTTTTTTTTTAGCCATAAGTATTTTTAAATTAAGGTATGTACTTTAGACATAATACTATTGCATACTTAATAGACTTTAGTCTAGGATAAACATAACTTTTATGTGCACTGAAGAATCAAAAAATTCATGTGACTCAATTGTGATATTTGCTTTATTGCAGTCTATTGTGGTCTAGAACCAAACCCACAGTATCTTCTAGCACCATTATATCTGAAGTGTGTGAGAGGGACAATCAGGTTCTAGACCAGGAGTCAAGGACCTTTTTTGTGTCATAGATCCCTTTGGCAGGCCAATGAAGCCTATGGACACCTCAGATTAAAATAAATTATTACAAAAGAAACCAATTATATTAAAATGCAGGTATCAAAATTGAAAAAAAAAAAATTCAGGAATCCCAGGTTAAGAAATCCTTGATCTAGACTAAAGGATTCCTGACCTGTCCAAAACCTTACAAATTTCCACCGAAGTCAATCCATCTTGCAATCACAGTTGCTAAAAGGAGTTGGGGGCAGAAGAGAGATATCAAAACTTGTGGCCATTTTCTGTCACCCCATACATGAAATGGTAGAGATGAGAAGCATAACAGAATTATGCCACTAACATTAATATTAAAGTAAGGAAACAGAAATTTACCACGTCATTACAGATACCATATGCAGACACAAGCCAAATGAGGCTCATCTACTATATGAGCCAAATGAGGCTCATCTACTATATGACCACTCCTTGATTAAAATATTCTCTTCTATTTTGGAGACAAAATTGTAGGATCATCATTCTAATAGAAAGAACTTCAAAACAGGACATTTAGTCCAAACTCCTCATTTTAAGATGAGCCAACTGTGTCCCAGGAAGGTTAATTTAGTAGGTCACACAGGTTGGGTTGTAAGGACTAGAGGTAAAATTTGATTTTAAATCCTCTGACTCCACAGCTACTGCTATTTCTACTATATCATGCTATTTTTAAAATAAATTGTTGAAAGTCAAATGTAGACAAGAACCTAAATACTGACTGGCATGATTGCAAAAACTGATTTGAGAAAAACAATTCCAAATAATAAAAGTGACCCAGAATTGGAAAGGGCTGCCTCAGGATGTCTCCCGTTTGTGTTACAATGGCTGGTGCCCACCAGGCAGACGTAATATCAAGAGATTCTTGTTCAGATTTAAAATGCACCAGATGGTCCCCGAGGTCCCTTCCAATTCTGATTCTGTATATGCTGCTTCGAAATGATCTGGCATCACATAAAGAACAGTGGATTTTGAATCAAACCCTATCTCTGGCACTTACTGCCTGTGTGACCCTGGGCAAATGCCTTCGTTTTGCTGGGCCTCAGCTTCCTCTCTGAGATCTCTCTGGGTTCTAGAGCTATGATCCAGTGACAAGGTGACTTCTGAGGTCTCTGACCCTATGAACTCCTGCTCTACTACGTGACTTTAAGAAGGTCATCCATGGGGGGAGGGAAAGGGTAGTTTTGTTTTATTTCCTAAAATGAGATGAGGCAAGATAATCTCTAAGGTTACTTCTGGCTCTGAGTCCCATGACCTTTCCACTTACTTTCTATATCAGAAAGGTTTTTTTTATTTTATTTTTAAAAAACCTTCTCCAGTTCAGTTATTGCACAGAATTGTTTCTCCTTATAATAATCATACACACATATGCAGAGCTCACTGAACAGAAAGAACGGCCAATTTTTAAAAGAAGAAAAACAGAAACTCCTAGTCAAGTTCCTTCAGAACAAATGGACACAGAAACAAACACACTTCAAGAGCTAAAATGGAAATCACTGACTCATAGATTTAGAGCTAGAAGAGACCTTTGAGCCGTCTCATCCAAAACCTTCGCTTTAAGGCCCAGAGAGATGAAGGGACTACCCTTTACACAGGCACTAAAGTACAGAATGAGTTGTTAAATTTGGGTCCTCTGACTCCTGAAGCTTCATAAAATAATATTTTATTTTATAACTTTGTGTTATGCTTAATGCGGAACAGACCCTGCTCTTTTCCCCCAACATCTTGGGTCTTTCTTTCTGTTCTGGCTTCTTAGGAGCTCTAAGCAACCCTCTAAGCCTCAACTAAATACTCTGAGACCATGGTTTCATGTTGATTTCTTGCTGTACCATCCCTATTTCTGCAGTGAACAAAGCAAAGGCGGGGAAAAGCTGATGAGAAAGGAAAGGGAAAACAGGTAGTAGTGGACACCAGTCTCCTTGACCCCTTCCTGTTTTCTCTGGTCTATCTTTCCCTCTTCTCACTCTTTCTGATATTAAAGAAAGAGAAGAAGTTCTTATTCACAGAGTCTCTGAGCTCCCTCATTTGGAAGATGAGGTGATTTGTAACGAAATTGTGCTATTAAGTATTCTCAAGATTCATAAAAGTTTTTCCTAAGATTTGCCCGAGATACACTGTTATCTTTAAGAGTCACAAATTGCCACTTTATAAGTAAAGTAACATATTTACCTACCCTGAGGGTGTGCTCCATTAGTGTGTCAACATTCCTAACAACACATTATTATTGACATTCATCCTCCTTTTAAATATTGTTACAAACATCTCAAAAGTCAAGTTAAATAATGTTTTAGAATAAAGAAATGCACAAATGACTATGGGAATTTTATCTTCTAATTTGTTGCTATTTTTTCTCTTTTTTTGTACTTCATATGTTTACTCACCCACACACCCCTTATTCTAGCCTTTTGTTCCTTCACGCAGCACTTTGTTTTGCTTTTCTCTAATGCATCACTACAATATTTTGTATGTTTTGCATAGACCTATAGATGCACATGTTGTCTTTCCCAACAGAATGTAAACTTTTTGAGGGCAGTAACATCACTCTTGTCTGCGTAATCCCAGTGCCTAACACAATGCTTGGAACGAACATAGTAAGCGCTCAATAAATGCTTGTTGATTACTATTGAGTATTACTTGTATGTATTTGTATTTTATCCCTCCTCAGTAAATTCAATGTGGGAAGGGGCTGTCTCCCAGTTAAATTTGGTACACCTCATCATCTTTATGCTCTGACAAAGTAGACACTTTAATAAATGTTGGATGAACTGAATTGATCCCAGCAAGCCTTTTATTTTTACCCAATCTAGTCTTTTACTGTTCTGTTCAAAATATCCATTCACAGATTAAAGTTCAATGTGGTTATTACATCAAAAAAAGTGTAATAGTTTAAGGTATCAGATCAAACCACCAGTGTTACTGAAAGTCTTAAATTAGAGCTGTAACTAGGAATTTTTGCACTTGTGCCACAATAATCACTTTTTAAAAAATGTGGTGGAGTGTAGAGAGAGACCCCACTGGCAAAAAGATTACATCCCTAGGGATCTAATATCTTCCAATACAACGCAGGAAGCATTTATTAGACACACAATTTGTGCAAGGTACTGGGCTAGCCTCTGGGGATAAAAATATAAAACCCAAATCATCTCTTCCTTCAAGGAGCTCAAATTCTACTACAGAGAGACATATGTAAACAGATGAGTATATAATTATTTAAAGAGGGAGACAACACTAAAAATCAAGAAAGGCTTCCTGTAGAAGGTGAAATGTAAGTTGAGCCTTAAAGGAAACTTGGGATTCTAAGGGGCAGAGATAAGAGGGGAGTGCATTCCAGGCATAGGAAACAGCTGGAATGCCAAGTTCAGAGAACAGTAATAGGCTGGTTTAGGGCATAGAAAGTTTGTGAAGACAAGTAACATCCAATAAACCTAGAAATGTAAACCCAGAGTGCAATTATGAAGGCCTTGAAGGGCTATGCTAAGGAGTCTGTATTTTACTGTACAGGTAATAGGAAGTCACTGAAGCTTCTCAGGCAGGGGAATTAAAGGCAAGACATAGTTTAGGAATATGATTTTGGCAGCTGTGTGGAAGATGGATTTGAGAGGGAGAGTCTGGAAGAAGACAGTCCAATTAGGAGGCAGAATCAACAAGACATGGCCACTGACTGTATATGGAAGACGTGGAAAAAGGACAAAGTGGAGGGTGATGCTGAGCCCACCACAGAGAGGGTGGTCCCCTCAGGAGAAAGATGGAAGTTTGTTAGAGGAGCCTAGGCTCTCTAGGCTGGAAGACAAGGAGTTCAATTTTGAACACGCTGAATCTGAGATGCTATGGAATACTGAGGTGGAGGTGACATAGGGAGGCAGCAAATGACACAGGAGAGAGATTACGGCTGGACATATACATCTGGAAGTCATCTGCAGAGACAATAATAATGATTTTAGTAAAAGGGCTGTTTGTTTGAACTCTTGGTTTCTAAGGGACAGTCATCGAGACATCAAGACAGGTGGCACTGAAGGGGTGTTTGAGTGGATGCCCTTGACCAACTACTTGCCTCTCCCCTAGATCACTACTATTTCTGTTTCAGGCAGGCATGATCCTGGCCACTCATCTTCCCTTCTTCATTAAGAGGGTGGTGGCAAAAGTCCAGAGCCCTTTACCAACTGCTGAAGGCGATAGGAGGGCAGCTTACCTGTAAACATGAACAGGGATGCATGCTGAATGAATAGTTTGACCCCCACCACGTGTAGCAGGGTGAGTTGGGGGATGACAGCAGAAAGTGCATTGTCAGACACATGCAGCTCTCTCCTACTGCTGCTGCCTCCCCACCCCCACCCCAAGGCATTCCTCAAGGCCTATGGGATTATCTGGGAAATTAAAAATTAGACACCATGGGGTAAATGGGGACCTAGTCTATCCCACCCTCATTACAGTTCTGTCTCTAAATATCAGCAGGAGAGGAGACATAGAAAAAATTGCATGAAGAAAAACTAACTGCAGCCTTGAAAAAATGTTGCACACTTAAAGTTTGGACAAAGAAGAGGCTCTTGAACAATTTTAACACGAGTCTTGCTTAAGACAGCTTAAACAGATTCCAGTGCTTTAAATCTAAAACTGAAATAGAAAAATCATTACTTTAAAATAGAAAATAATTCTTTTTCTTCTACTTTCCCACATCTTAAAATGAGAATCAGAAAAGTAGAGTTTTTCAATCTTAAAAAACCAAACAATTCTTTTGCTTATCTTTCTCTTCTTTTATTTTTCCTTCACTTTAATTCTCCATACTCTCTGGCACACAACCCCATGTGCTTTACTTCTCCCCAATGCCACATCAATGACTCCTTATTGATCATACCCATTAGACAATAGCAGGAAATCTTAGTTATTATATCTATATTTAATATATATAAAATATATACAATTATATTATGTATATAATAATATACAATTATATATATATTTAATACACATATACATATACATAATTCTATCTTAGTTCTCTATGAGATCAGGTCAAGCTCTCTCTGCTCTTTCCAGCATAGCATGCCACTACCTGGCCATGTACAACTCCTACATGCTAGATCTCTTTTCAGGCATGTATATATTTTCTCTCTCCATCTAGATCCTAAGTCCTTGGGTCTTACATTTCTTTGCATACTCAAAAGCACCTTACACAAAAATAATATTTATTGATGGAGTTCATAATTTTCCCCATCATCATCAATGGCATTAATAACACTGCCCTTGCATGCCCCCATCAAAGCTATATATATGTGTGTATATGCACAAATATACATGGATGGTCTATTAATATATTAATATAATATTTATCTTTATATATATATCTTTGCATGTAGTTTTGTTACTGTCAAAAATAGAAAATAATTTGTTCTAAGTTAACATAGTACTAGCAAGATGGAGTTCTTAAGGGTCTAATTTAACAAAGGGAGAAAAATGATTCATAATTAATATATTAGCTATCGTATTCAGGTGTGTCTTTAAGACTTTAATATGTCTGTTCTCTTAAACAGATTGAAGACTCCAACTGTCCTTTAAGAATAACTAACTCAGCCCATTTAGTTTATTCATTTGCTTAGTAAACTTTTTTTCCTATAGACTGCAAAGGTAAACTTCAGCCCAACTTGGTTCCAATGATCACAAATATGAATTGTGCCCTTGATTCATCTCTGTGGGTCCCATGAATAAGAATGACTGGAATGTTTTTCAACTAGGTTTCATTATTATTTGGAAGATTAATTTCTTACACGATCAGAAACTACAGACCTGAAATTTTTCTTTTGGAATGTTCCTTCGTGCTCCTTTTGCTAAAACTAAAGCTTCTTCCACTCTTCGACTTGCAAGGAGATCCTGAATCTGTCTTTCAAGGGGTAATGGAACCAAGATATATACTCCTTTACTGGTAGCTACAATCACTCTTCCTGTGCAGAAATATAAGGGTGTTGTATAAGAACACAAATATCATATTTTACATAATTTTTTATAAACCAGGTTTTTGATATGTGATGCATTTCAAACAACTTTTAATTCAATCCAAATATTTACTAAACTTATACTTTGTGCAAAGCACTGAGAGAGAGCATCCAGGAGAGAGAGAGGAAGACATGATGATCCTGTCCTTTTCATGCTGGGATATGATTTGTCTAATTTAAATGTGTAATTTTAAAATACCTAAAAACATTCCATTCTGTTTTTAGTTCAATTTAAATTTGATAATCTGACTTTGATAATTTGATAATTTTGATAATATAATGTGATAAATTTGATAATATAATTAACGAGTAATTACCCTAGTCCAATATGATTTCTCCCTACCCTGGTCCACTACAGGGTTTATGTATTGCCTATACCACTTTCCAAGACAATAATACCTCACATTATGTCATTAATGTTTGCAAAGCAGTTTACATACATTATCTCATTTGGGCTTCAATAGTCATAGGTACGAGTCTTATGATCTATATTTTACACAAGTGAGAAAAACTGTTCCAGAAAGGTTGAGTTGCTTATTGTCACAGTATCAGAGGCAGGATTTTATCTCAGTTCTCTATGACATCAGGTCAAACTCTCTGCTCTTTCTAACACAGCATGCCACTACCTGGCCATGTACAACTCCTATATGCTAGTTCTCTTTTCAGGAGTATATCTATATATTTCTCTTTCCATTTAGATCCTAAACTCTTGTGTCATATTTCTTTGTATCCTCAAAAACACCTAGCATGATGCCTTGCACAAAAAAAATCATAATTTTCCCCCTCATCTCAATGACATTAATAACACTACTCCTCCACCTCCACCTCCCATCAAGCTTAATACATTGTTTGCTAGGTATAATTATTAATTCAATCTTTCAAAAGATCCATGATTTCTTTAATGTAGGCACTCTCTTCCCTGACCTACACTGAAACTCCTCCATGTTTTAGTTCATGGTTTCATAAATTGTTGCCCTCAAAAACACCAAGCCATTTATCTGGTGACATACCTTTTCGTGCTGAGCCTAAGGGCCAGCTGGGCAGGACCTGCCAAAGCTTGTGCTCCTGTGCCACAGTATTCCAGTACCAAGGGTGAACCACAACATAAGGAAGCATCATACTCAAGACTTTAGTGGAGGACATAATCCTTAGACAGTCAATTTTTAATGTTCTCCTCCCCCTCCCCCCTTTTTAACCAGAAGTTGCCTCTAAATCTGGAGTAAATACATGATCTAGAACAGGGCTCTTATTTTGGAAGTCAATTACAGAGTGCTATTGGTAAAACTGCAATGATCCATCATTTAGAATCGAGTCTTTTCTAAATTAAAAAAGAAACAAAAAGGACCTTTTGAGATTCGAAACATGTTTTTCTGAACTGATTGTTCCAAAAACAAGAGTACAACATTCAGAACCAAAGTACTGTACAGAGTATTTTATACATAACCTTCTTTCTGAAAAGCTATAAAATCTTTACACAGTTATCTTTTTCAAAAATCTTGAGCTAATTAGGCAGGTGAACAAAATCCTTCTCATGTTACTGATGGGGAAATTGAAAAACAGAGAGGCCTAAGGCTTTATCTATTGACTACAAGTGGCATAGGCAGGATCATAGTCCAGTTCTAGCTGCTACTACCGAGAGCTTCCAAATATACTCTGTTGACTCTTAGGAAAGGTCTACAAGAGAGTACTATTCACCAACTCCCTTTTTATATGAAAAGAAATGTAAAGCTTGCATTGCTAACTGAAACATAATTTATGATACCATTCGAAAAGATTAGATTTTTTTAAACAATAGTTGCTAATTATTTGTCAGTACCTTCAAAGTCCTGTAAAATATGACCTTCCTTAAAAGGCAGAGTCTGTTTTTGTTGTTGATCCAACATGCTATGCACTGTAATGAATTCATCATCTAGAGCTATTACGTATGGAAAGCAAATGGCTGCACCAATCACATTCTCTGACCAATGCACAGGTGCACGCTGGGATATCCCATCTACTGTGGCAAACATGCCTATAAAAAAAGAGAGATAAAATTAACTGGAACAAAGATTAATACTGTTAGTGCTGTTTTTATACGGATATGTTTGACTACATAATACATTTATTGTTCAGTTTTTGGAAACTAGGGCTAGACTTAAAGAAATGAGGGAAGGTAAACAGTCCAAAGAATTATAAGGCTTAATTTTGTGAAGGGATTATGTATATCTTTTCCCCAGGATCTATATTCTAGATTCACTTCTGAGAGGTAGTGATTGTGATTTGAAGAGCAGGGAAGGTGTTCATCCAATTTAAGTAGATTGATGTTTCACGTTTTAAAGCTTGCTTTGTCCCAAATATTTTTAACTAATGCATATAGTTTGCTCCTATGGATTGAGATTTTCTTGACCCTACATATTATTCTCTCTCAACTGTTCTTTTTCAGCATTGTGTGCATCCTATAATTAATTTCCTTATCACATATTGTCCAAAACTGAGATTATTATACTCTCCAAACCTGCTCCTCTTTCTGATGTCATTGGCGCCACTGTTCACCCAATGTTCCACGTTGTACATTATCATAGTCTTCCCCAATTGACTGGATGACCACTTTCTGTCAGTCCCACTTCTACAGTCTCTCTCCTACCCATCACTTCCTTTCTATACCCATTGCCACTACTCTAGTACAGACCTTCATTACTACCCTCCTGGTCTTCTGCAATAGTATCTTAACTGGTCTTTGATTCTTCCCTTCTCTTCTGCACTCCACATTACCCTTCACATTACAGCCCAAAATTGGCTTCCTTCTGCACAGATTTGGTCGGCTATCCACGTTGCTTCACTCATCCTTTCTGTCTCCTGAGGACAGCTGGCCATGCAAAGCCTTCTACAATCTGCTGCTACTCTACCTTTACAGGTGCTACTTCATTAACTCCCTTGGTGATACTCTAGGATCCAATCAAAGAGAACTGTGTGCCCTGAACATTCTTTGGGCTTTCCAATCTGAATGCCTTTGGCTCAAGTAATTTCTTGTACTTGGCATGTCCTCTCTCCTCTTTGTTATTTAATCCACCCTTTATAGTCCAACTCAAATGCCGCCACTTCCAGCAAACTTCCTAGATCGCTCTAGCTTGTAATTCATGTGACCCCTTTCAGACCTCACTTAACACTTTGTTTTCCAGCTACCACCTTCTATTCTGCATGATAATTATCTGTGTATCTGTTCTGCTGGGCCTACTATCCTACAAACTTCAAAAAAGCAGGAACTACGTTTGACCTAAACTCCCTAATAGTGCTGTGTACACAAAAGCTTAATAAATATAGAACTAAATTTTGAGTTAATGAAACAGCCAAATGGGGAAAGTAGGAAACAAAGGCAATCTAGGGGCAGAACTTTCACCCAAATGTCAGGCAAAGTGGGGGAAATGGTGAAGAAATAGACAGAGTCAAATCTGGGTTTGGTTCTACTTCAAGTCAACTACATCTGCCCCCAACACAGTCAGACTGTTGTGCAGAGCACATTTTCACGATAAACACAGAAAGTTGATAGTACAGTAATCCTCCTCAGCTGATTCCAGTCATATAACAGTGTTTCTGTACAAAGAGTGAGAGGAAGGGTGGAAGTCAAAGATCAAAAACAAAGCCTGCAGACAGACAAAATGAAAAGTGCACCAAGCTTTTGCCAGACTAAAAGAAGCACTTTACTGTCTGTACTGAGAGAAGATTGCTGAACTAGCTGCGTTTGGAACTCACAGAGGTTGACTATGCAAAGAATAAGATTTCTCTCGGAAGCAAGACTGCCCCCTCAAATATCAATAAAGAAGAAGATCAGGTTGAGAAAGTACCAACATGATACAGCTAAGAAAAAAAAAAGAGTAATGTTAGATCTAGAACAGTATGGAGCAAAAAGGAAAGTTATGTGACTTGGGAAAAGGGTTAAGAAAAGTTTTTCTTGAAATAGACAAGAAGTCAAAACAAGTGATAAATGCAGAAGCAGTGGCACAATCACCTGCAGTTTGTGAAGCATTTTCCTCACAAAATTCTGTAAGTTAATGTTATTAACGTATTTTATACATGACTCAGCAATTACTTGGCTTGCTTAGGGTCCCACAAACAGTAAGTAACAGAACAAGGATACAGAGTAAATGGTACTTTTCAAAATGCATTCATGCGCATATTAGGAATTGATTTATTGCTAGGGGGAGGCAATGGGGGAAGGGAGTGACTGTGTGACCTATGATTTCATATGTATAGCAAATTACCTGATGGTGGAAACTCATTCTATTTCTGTAATTTAGTCTTAGAGAGTTGTGTGGAATGCTGGGAGGTTCAGTGCTTTGTCCATGATCACACAACTAGTAAGTATCAGAGATGGGACCTGAACCCTGGTTTTCTTGACTCCAAGGCCAGTTCATGTACATACACTGCATCGCTTCTCACTAATTTGAACAATTAGTTTATAAAAAGAGAAGCTACGTGGTGGCAATACTGTACTTTGATAAGATCTGCACCTCTGCAAATATAAAAGGATCTCAATCCAGTCACTTCCAAACATACCCACAACAATAGTATAAGGAACTCTGGTTGATTTTCTTGTCCAGGTAGAAGTATAGGCTATACAGTTTGAAGAATAAGTGAGTATAACAATCTGCAAATGCACTTGAAAAAATTATTTAATTCTTTTTAAAGAAAAATTTAATTCTTTAATTATATATATGTATATATTACAATTACTAAAATTAAGGCAGAGGATTCATAATGACAGAATTGGAGACTGGGCTAAAGTTTTGTTGACTACTTTGATTAAAAACAAAGAAGGAAACTTAAAATATTGGAACCTTACTTTCATCTGGGTTGAAGAGGAAACAATGTACACATCTGAAGAGGTTTAGAAGTCTTCTGAACTTCCAGAGGTGAGAAAATTAGAGGTAAGACAGGGACTTTTAGAAGGGTATACAGATTAAGAATAGGAGGGTGGGTGAATAGATAAGATAATAATAGATAATTGACAGACTTTTAAAGGGAAGGGTAAAAAATAAGGAATAAGAGGGTAAGGAGAGAAGACATGGTAACAGGGCTAAGGTGAAAAGAGAGGCTGAGAAGGAAAATAGCGAGAAAAAATAATTGGGCATAGACCCGTATCTTACGTTATTTACTAAGATAAGGTCAAAACAGACACATGACCTACACATAAAGAGAGATTTTACAGAAAAATCAGAAGAACACAGAACATATTACTTGACATACTTGGGGACAAGTGAACAACTTATGGATAAACAAGAGATAGAGAGCAAAGTTAAGTGTAAAATGGATAATTTTGATTACATGAAATTATAAAGGTTTTGGACAAATAAAATAAACGTAGCCAAGATCAGAAGGAAAACAGAAAATTAGTGGAGGAGGGAGGAGGATTTTATGGACAGTTTAACAGATAATAGTCTCATATTGAAAATATATAAAGAACTTTGTTAAATCTATAAGAATATGAGTCATTACCCAATTGATAAATAGTCAAAGGATATAAACAGGCAGTTTTCTGATGAAGAAATCAAAACAATTTATAGTCATATGAAAAAATGCTCTAAATCATTGATTAGAGAAATACAAATTAAAACAACTTTGAGATATTATTTTATACCTACCAGACTGGCTAAAATGATAGAAGGGGAAAAGTGACAAATGTTGGAGTAGATGTGGAAAAACTGGGACACTCATTCATTGTTCGTGAAATTGTGAAATGATCCAACCATTCTGGAGAACAATCTGGAATTATGCCCAAAGAGTTATTAAACTACCTATACTCTTTGACCCGGCAATACCACTGCTTGGTTTATTTCCAAAGATAATTAGGGAAAAAGGAAAAGAACTTATATGTTCTAAAATGTTTATAGTAGCTCTCTTTGTGGTAGCAAAAAACTACCCATCAATTGGGGAAATGGCTGAACAAGTTGTGGTATAGACAGTTGTGATGGAATACTACTGTGCCATAAGAAATGAATTCCATGACTTTAGAAAAGCATGGAAGAACTTAAATGAAATAACCAAGAGTGAAATGAGCAGAACAAAAGAACACTGTATACAGTAACAGCACTATTTTTTTAAGAACTTTGTGCGAATAAGTGATTTTGAATATTATAAATACCCAAATTAACTATAAAGGACATGTGAAGAAAGATGCTATCCGCATCCAGAGAAAGAACCGATAAATAGACGTATAGAATAATTTTACGTACAAATACTGATTTGTGTCTAACGGTAGCCATCTCCAGAGTGGAGGGAGGGGAGTAAAAAAAAAAATTACATGTTAATTTTGTTGTAGAGTTGAAAGGAATAGCAAGTTATGCACAGTAGATTTGAAGTTTCATTTTTTTTATTGTACTATGTCATGGAAATGTTTGTTTTATTCCATAAATTAAAAAAAATTTTAAAAAGCAAAGAAGGGAGATATACTGACTGTTTCATGTCCTGCAATTTTCATTTTGTGAAAAATGTCTTTGTCCCATTGGCTTGACATCAAGTTGCTGATCAAAAACCCAGGAATGGTGAAATAGGCTTTGGATGTCCCTATTCACAATTCTCTCTATTATTTCCCTTAACACAAACATTCTAATTTCAATTTAACTAGTATTTGTGCAAGGCACTGTATGAGGAGGCTAGAAAGGAGGTCCTGTGCAAGGTGCTCGGGGCACAAGGCCAAATTTTAAAACAGGTACTGCCCTCAAGGAGTCGACATTCTGCTTGGGGTTGGGCTTTACAAATTTAATAGATTAATAAAATGCAATATAATTTGAGGACAGAGTATACACTAACAACTAAGAGAATCAGAAAAGATTTCTAATAAATAGGAGAGAGCACCTGACCTGAGCCGTCAATGAAGCTCAAGTCACTGGGAAGCAGAGGTGGAGAAGATGTGTATGCCAGGATACAGGACAGCCCGAGAAAAGGCAAAGAGGCAGGAGATGGAGTGCCAAGTTAGAAAGTTTAAGAATTATTTTTAATCTTATTCAATTTTATTCAATTAAAATTAATTCAATAATAAGAATTATTTTTAGAATGCCTAATGTAGTCATTGATTCTAACTTCAATCATTTTTCTTAAATGTAGGTCTGGTTATATCAATCCCTGACTCAAATACACTTCAGGAGCCCCTTTAAAAAAAAAAAGAAGAGGGGCAGCTAGGTGGCGCAGTGGATAGAGCACCGGCCCTGAAGTCAGGAGGACCTGAGTTCAAATCCAGCCTCAGACCAAACACTTGTCACTTACTAGCTGTGTGATCTTGGGCAAATCACTTAACCCCAATTGCCTAACCAAAAAAAAATAAAATAAAATAAAAAAAAAGAAAGAAAGAAGAAAAACAAAAAAGCCAGTGGCCAGCCTGGCTGTTAAAAGTAAAGAAGAGCATGAAGTTCAGTACTGGCTGACCTTCCTATTCAAATAAACCCATCAATATTAACTGTTATCAACACTTACATCAAACTCATTTTCACTATTAGTTTTATAGCAGAGGTTTTTAGCTTATTTAAAAAACTTATTTTAAAAATATTTTGATAACTCATTTCAAAATCATTGATTTCCTTTGAAATCCTTTGTATTTTATTTTATACATTTACAAACATTATTGTGAGGAGCCCATACGCTTCACCAGACTGCCAAAGAGGTCAATGAGACCAAAAGAGTCAAGAACCTCTGTTATATCTTTTAGGGACATGGCAAGGATATGTAAGAAGAGGAAACTACACAAATACATCTCCCTTTTTGAAAATAAACTAACTACTAAAAACTTAGAGAAAAGATGCTAGAAAAGAAACAAGAAGTACGGACCTGGAATTGAGGTTTCAGTTTTCTAAAGAAGGCTTTAAGGCGAAACATAGGCTTTTATTTCCATTTTGATAATGAATGGATTTCCTTAGAGATATTAATTTTTAAGATGTATTAGCAAAAACTAAAACTAATTTTACTAAAACCAATCCCACTGTAAAGTGTCACAATCCTCCTTAAAAACAAGAGAAGAAATTGCCACTTTTGTGGACAGAATTCTGACACTTTCTTTTCAAAAGAAACAGAGACACCACTCCTACATTTCAGCAATGGTTAATAAAACTAACAAAAAATAAAACAGGTAGGTATAGGAAGTGAGGGTTACTGAAAATACCATCACATTTTTCTTACCTAGTCCTCCAGGCCCAGCCAGTAGAAATTCTTGCCTCCCTATCCTCTTCACGATTGGCTGTCTCTCTTCACTGCAATATGGAAACAGATCCTGGGAGGCCCCTGTGTTATAATTCAATATGATGTACTGTGTAGTGAGTGCCAAGCATAAAAAGTGGCCATCCACAGCCACAGCAAATGGTTGCTCTGGGGTTGACACTTCCTTTACAATTTGGACTCGGTCTTCATAGACCATAAACATCTGAATGGTCCTACGTTTGACTGAAATGATGCAAACCTCTACACAAAAGGGGTCCCCACTCACAGGGTTCTCATTTAAAGCAAAAGTCACTGCCCCTTTTATTCGAGCACCTGAAGGGATGGGTTCGAGATTCATCATGTTAACCAAAGCAATGGTATTGTCACAAAGCACCAGGAGCCTATTGAGGGCTGATGCTGCTTTCAATTCATTCACTGGCTTCTTGAAACCCAGATATTTGTGCCGCTGCTTTGTGGCAGAGAAAGTGACCTTTCCATTTGGTGACATATTTTCCTCCAATAGGAAGTGGTGGATGAAACATTCATTGGTACCAACATAAAGGTTCTTTCCACAGCACTCAATGCATTCAATACTGATGTGATCTTTGTCGCCCATCAGGAGCTCCCGCTCGATGGCGGAGACCAGTCTGAAAGCCTTGATGTTCATCATTTCTCTCAAATGATCTACTGGAAAAGAATGAAGACAGGCATTTTAATCTGCAGTGGAAAAGAGTCAAACAAAAATATTTTAGCTCAAACTATAAATAAACAGTCTCATAGATCAGTAGAACAGACTAAATATAAAAACAGCTGCAGAAAAAACTGAACTCAACTCAATGTTGAATAAATCTGAGTACAAATTACTTTGCAGAGAATTCCTCATTTGACAAGAAGTGATTAGAAAAGTGATTGGAAACAATTTGGCAGAAGTTAGGTTTAGAATAATATCTTACACAATATACCATAATGAGCTCAAAATTTGGATTATTAAAGGCTACAAGATCAAAAAAAACATTAGAAGAGAAACAGTTCAGATATCTCACAGGCATGGCTTAGAGGAGAGGTTATTATCATAATATAGAGAAGCAGACATTAAGGGTGGTTGCAATGTGAACAGGGAAGGAGAAATTAGCAATATTGTCCAAGATAGAAGCAACAGGACCTGACAAATGAATAGACATGTGGAGTGAAAGAGAAAGAAGAATGAAAGAAGATTCTGAGGCCATGGGATTTCGAGCTGGAAGAGACCTTAGGAATCATTTAAATTCTACCTGAGAACTTAAGTGACTTGCCCAAGGTCATACACACTAAGTAGCAAAGCTGAAAATTTAATCCAGATCTTGACTCCAAATCCCATGTTTTTCTCACTACTTTTGAACCTGTGAGACTTAAAAGAGAAGCAAAGAAATTAGGGGGAGGATCAAGTGCTTTTGTGGAGGAAAAGGCTTAGGGGATGATAAATTCAGTTTTGGATATATTGAGTCTGAGGTATGTGTGGGAAAGTGGAGATGTCTGAAAGATTGAAATAAGGAACTAGAACTCTTAGAGGATGTTACAGGCGAGGATAAAGATGCAGAAGATACTTGAATAAAGGTGATAACTGAAACTACAGGAATAGATAAGATTATCAAGGGAGAAAATGTAGAAAGGAAGGTAAAGTGGGCCAAGGACAGAATCTGGGAGGCTGCCTCACTGCCAGAAAGCAGGAGACCACGTGTTACATTAATAATCACAAAATCAGAGAAATGGAGTTGGCTGAGACTTCTGAGGTAACCTAGGCACACGATCTTAAGATCATAGATTTAGAGCCCGTACTAGATGACTTAAAGGTTATCTTTAACCTTTAACTAGATAAAGGTTATCTTTAACCT